TCTGATACCAAATGTAGCGCACGTGGTTTTGACCCTTTATCCTATGGTGATTTACCATAGGATAACACCACGAAGCGGAACCTAAACCCTCTTTGTGCCACGTGATAGATGCCACGTGTCACATGCCACGTGTCCATGCCACGTGTCCATAGGAACCCGAGGTTCAGGGCCTTGGGCCACTGAACGAAAGAACGGTGCCAAACTCCCAAGCATGGAGCCAAGGAGTGACGGAACCATACCACGGAGCAACTCCCGAGCATAAAGCCCCAAGGAGCGAAGGGACAGGGGCCCGGAGCGACTTGGAACAGTCCTGGAGCAACCAGCATCCCAATGCCAGGACTAGCACGCAAAACGGAGCCAAACGGAGTTTGGCGCTATTTCGGCATACCGGTGGCCTAACGTGAGGATATGGGTACTCCCCCAACTAGCATGGAATGGAATTTGGGCTTAGACCCAAGCCGGACGCAGAACAAGGACAGACACGCAAGCGGGAGCTAGACTATGCCTCATGTTGGTCGGCCATGCCCGACCTACCCACTATCCCTACTATACATTTGGAACCCCCCACAGCCCCCCCCCCCCCTTGAGGAACACACGCTTTGGGCTTTCACCCCAAGCCTCCCTTAGTATCAGGAGTTAGTCTCTGGGACAAACTCGAAACTTACTAAATATGGAATGTCCTTAGATTGCGAATTTGGACACGGGACGAACACCATTGTGTTCAGGCCGATCTCTACATTCCGTAGATATGCCAAATGAGCAAATCTGGACACTTTCCATAAATAGCATTTGGGACCGAAATGAGACCAACACAAAGGGCATGACAGCGAGGGTGTTTGGCAAACACGGTAAGCTATCATCTAGCGATATTGAGGGACCAATCTCAATATCACAGGGGTTCCCAACACTAGCAAGTGCAAGTCAACGAATGAGTTTCTCTAACCAGGTCAAGTATGCTTGACTAATAGCACTTAGGAATTCCGTCCTTATGCCCATCTGGTCAAGTGCACACGCGAGGACCAGTTTCTCAACTAGCTTAGGTGGAGACTGATAACGGGTCCAGCAATACCGACCTCCTGCCATCGTGGCAGTAAGGTAAGAGTGTCCGTAAGGACTAGCCGACAGGTAACTTTCGATACCTGAAGTCACATTTGCGACACTGCTTGACTAAATGACAACTTAGGATTTCCTTCCTTAGTGCCCTTCCGGTCTAAGTGCACATGTGATGACCAGTTTCTCAACTAGCTTAGGCGGAGACTGATAACGGGCCCAGCAATACCGACCTCCTGCCATCGTGGCAGTAAGGTAAGAGTGTCCGTAAGGACTAGTCGACAGGTAACTTTCGATACCCGAAGTCACATGCGCGACAGTACCAAAATTTATAGATATATATGCAAAGCTACAACAACTAAATACCCATTTAGATCATTGTCTTCATCTCTGTTAGTTGTCCAATTTCATTAAATAGTGCTTGTTAAGATTAATCCTTTGATACTAGTGATTTTCACTTAATACCCTATGATGATTTACTATAGGATAACTATACATTGGAATTTAACTTTTGGACACATGTATACGAATAATGGAGTAAAACTTAAATTTCCATAGAGTATGTAGTTTTTGCACTTTCCCTTATAGTGTTTTATTATAGAATAACCACAGAAAGGAACCTTAACTCTTGGATATGTATGCCAAAGGAAGTAGAGTGGAACCTGAATATTAAAGCCTAAGCCCACTAAATGAAAGGAGGGAGCCAAACTCAACTAAGAAATGAAGGAATTGGAATACAAAATAATTTTTAAACATATAGTGAAAGAGCAAGGAATAGGAGTATAAAGTGACTTAGAATAGTCTTAAATCATTTAGCATCCTAACACCAAGATTAGTACATAAAACGAAATCAAATCAAGTTTGGTGTATTTCAGTATACTAGTGGCCTAATGCAAAGTTATAAATACTCCACCAAGAAACATAGTATAAACTTGGGGTTAAACCTAAACTAGACATAGAACAAAAACAGACACACTTAGCAAAGAGCTAAACAATGTTGCAATTTTGTCAGCCATACTTGACTTACTTACCTTGTTAGCAAATTTATACATTTTTTATAAATAGTTAATAGGATTGAATATAACCAATGTATAGAGGACTATAATGCGACAGGAATTCCTTATTGGGCAAAGTATACATAGTTAATAGTATGTAAAAATTTTGTCATTATATTTGTTTGGTCTAAGTACACTTGAAATGCCCAATTAACTTCACTAGCATAAGAAGAATTGATTTCCTTCCATCATGACAGTAAAAAAAGAATATCTTAAAAGACTTATTAATAGATAATTGTTGATACCCATAGTCACATTTACGACAATTTTAAAGCTTTAAGCCACTTACTGAAACAATGCAGCCAAAATCCTAAATGTATACCCAAAAAGCAAATGTAAAGGAGTATGGAGTCACCATGTTTTATTCAAATTAACTGGTGCAATAATTAGCATAGTTGAGTGTTTGTTAGCCCTTGTGACATTCATTCTAATATGTTGATTATTGTTAAGTATTACTTTTGATAAATTAGGATGTTATTTCCTTTGGATAATATATTTAGTAGTAGGAATGACATGAATAGTAAAAAGAGACATTGGTTTATCATGCAATAATTCTTGCATAGTGATGGTAGAAATACAAGGATTGTAAAAAATACTATATCAAGAGAAGTAAAGAATATCTTAAGAAATGGTTGATAACTCAAGAATAGTATGATCTTTAATTACCACTAATGGACACTTGAACTGGTTGTGTTTTTCAAAGTTTTCAAGTAGAAAAAACCATATACCTATTGATAGCCTTAATCACTTACTTCGTAATTTGAGAATGTACAGAAATTGTATGGTGTCAAACAAACTCTTTATTAATGAAATAAGAGGTAGCACTGGAGTTTAAAAGCAAAAGAGAGGGGACCCTAACCAAGATAAAGTGCCTAGAATGTACAAAATCCAACTATATAGTTCTTATGTTGATTGGAGATCCTTGTTTAGTATAATCCTTTAAACTTGATCACTTGAGAATTCATGACATATGAATTGATGTGGTCAAAACTTGAGTGGAACAAGAGGGTATATATGTCCTACTATATATCCTACTACATATCATGTAGTACCATAGTAGAGTTATACTTCATTGAGATAATGCTGACACTTTGCTAAAGACAATTTATATTGTGCTTCTTGTTGCTATTGACCAATCTTAATATAGTGCATTTGAATTTAGAACTTAACTCCAAGTTTGTTATATTATGAAATAAGAGTTTGGTACATAGTCAAAATCCCTTATGAGCACTAACTCCCCAAATTTAATTCTTGTACAAAAATTGGTGTTAGGTAATGTTTGGCATAATTTTAACATATTGGTGGCTTAATACAAAGAGGTGGGTATCCCACCAACTAGAACAACATAAATAAAGCTTGGGCTTAGACTCAAGCTAAATACAAAATAAAGAGTAATATAACCTAATAAGAGCCAAATTAATATTTTAAATGGTTAGCCATGTTTTTGACCACTATCTTTACTATACATTTGGAAATTCCCCCCCACCACAGTGTTTGTGACGCTATACATTTCATAAATATACTTCACTAGCAAATCGAGATACTTACCATAAATAACACATAAGACTGAAATAGGACTAACACAAATATGATGATGAGGGTGATTGGCAAATACTGTAAGCTATTATATAGTGCTATTGAAGGATTTTCCTTAATATCATAAGGGTTCCCAACACTAACAAGTGCAAGCCAATAATATGATTATATTATATATACTTGACAACTTGGGATTTTTTTCTTTAGTGCCTTGCTAGTTTAAGTGCACATATGCTTACAACTAACTAGTATAGTAGTAAAGAAAGAATGTTTGAAAGGATTGGTTAACAAGTATTTTTCAATACTTAAAATTACATTTATGTTGATGTTACATATAAACTATGAGAAAGTCATCAAATTTTGATTATAGTAGTGCAAACTTAGTTTGTATCACTAAAACACATATGAATCTTTTCCTAAAATAACATAAGATTATGATAAAATGTTGAGATAAATAGCAAAGGGGAAAACCATAAAAAGGTAAAACCTTAAAGAGACCCCAATCATGGATTTCTTGGTCAAAGTATCATCATGAAGATTAGATTCATTTGATTCAAAAAACTATACCAACATGTCAATATCTTATAAATTTTGCAAGAAAAGTAATTTCAAGTTCTATAGAGTAAAAGGCTTGATTATGTGGTTGCTAGATCACTAAACTTGTTATTTGTTATTGTAATTGAAGAACCAGAAGTCACTAATTCTCATACTAAAGTTAAAAAACCTTAGAATTGAGGTGATCATTTTGTTGAGCTAATAAGTTTGTTTAAATAAACCAAAAAAAAGTAATTAAACTAGATAAAGTATATAATATAAAATTATTTTGGCAAACTCTCAAACTCTCAATTATTTTTTAATAATTTAAAATTTGAATTTTATTAATTTTATAGTTTATCTTGGAAATATTTTATTTCTCTAATAAAACATTTCAATTTAAATGATATAAAGTTAAATTTTTAATATGTCGTTTATTGGTTGAAGATTTTTAGCTTCATATTTCCAAAATAAGTTCTGTTTCTAAATGTTATATCAATTTTAAAAATAATGTTCACAATGAGAATATATTTATTAAATATGGAGAATACAAAAGTATGAGATCCAAGAGAATTAATTTAACTAAATAAGGAATTAATTTAAGACACACAAAAGGATAGAAAATTATATAGATATTTTTATTAAGATTGTATGAGAGTATGAAATATAGAAATGGAATATAGAAATACAGGAGTGACTAGTCCAGATTAAAACCAATCTGACGGCAATTAAAATCCCATTACACTAATATTAGTGTATAGGTGTTAATATTGATATACCACATTATAGTTGTACACTTCACAATTGTTAATTTAAAGCACAAGATAGCATATTATGATTAAATATAAACCATAACATTAAATTTATTTATTGCCTTTATTTACTTATCTTGAATTCTCTTTTTTTTTTAATTTTATATATTTTGTATATAAGCCCTATAGACAAGAGTGCAAAACCTATAAGTTTCATTCATTCGTCACCCTTCGGTGTTGCCCCGAGCAGAAACGCTGCTCAAAGGGCGGTCGTGCTCTGAAGGATTCCAATGACGCTTTCTCTGGTTGATAAACCAGTTGTTAATTTGCTTCTGGTCGAGTCCAGTATCAGTTGCGAGGTTAGCTTTCTCCTGTTCCTGAAACCAGCCAAACAACTAAGAATATAAATTCAATGAAAACTATCACAACATACCGATGGATATGGCCACTTGATATGAGCTTCCCACCACTCATACAGCTTCTCGGTCGAGTGCTTGGGCAGCTTTCCTTTCTTCTTCTTCTTGAGAAACTCCTGCTTGAGGCCTTTGATGTAAGCACCATACCTCTGAGCCAGATACTCCTTGAGGTTCTCGTCCTTGGCCAAGGGATCAACCTCGTTTCCAACCTCGGAGCTGCTGATGTCCTCCTCGATCTCGGCCCCTCCTCCCGTGGTGGTCGTCTCTGGCTCCTCGCTCTCCACTTTGGAAAAACACAAGTATATTAGTTCTCGATCGACACTCACTCTTGAATAGACTATATAGCTCGACAGGAATCAACCAAAGTCAAGCACACAGCGAAGAAACTCTTTTGCCAACAAGAACGATGCACCGCTGGCCTATCCTTTGCAAATCTAAAACCAATTCTACCACCATCACCACCACCACCATTGGCATGCTTAAGTTAATCCAAAGATTCGACTAATGAAAGCCTCTCCACGTGCAAGTGTTCGTTGGTTTGTTGACGCATAGAGCCGACAGCCAACACGTCGCGTGAGCGCTGCTAGCAAAAGCTACGACAAAAAATACCCGCCCCCTCACATTGGCCAAGTGGCCGCCCACTTCCGTACTAGACCACATTTTGGGCCACCCATCCATCGCGCCATGCCGCATGGCCCATGCATGACGCCAGCCCGTCAGCCCGTCAGCAGCCTGGCCACCAATGACGGGCGTGTGATGTCACCCTGCCCGACAATACCGTATCCGTGACATGACCCCCCATGAGTCACCCATGCATCACCATCACCCCATGGCAGCCATTCATCACGATATTCTTGGATACGCCGCGAATCTAGCCTGCTCCTCGGGGTTTACGAAAAATAAGAAAAACCCCAGGAAATAGAAATAAAAACCCTGCGCTTTGCCTGCTTTGCTTGATTGTAAATTCCCAGGCTGCTGCTCGTCCAGCTTCACGCTTTAGCTTTAAATTTAAAGCCTTTGTCTGCCCAGGACTGCTGCTGTTCTTGCTCTGCAGTTCTATCCTTTTTTGCCCGTTGTTTTGCCTGTTCTATGCAAACTTCACGTGAAATCCTAAACCCCCACACCCCCAGCCCCTGCTGCCCCACACCCAAATCACTTCTTTTCCTCGATCTGCTTGCTTGGCTGCCTCGACCCAACTCTAAAATATATTCAAACCCTTCGAGAGGATCGGACGTCGATCGTGTTGTAGGCCGACATTGTTGGCGCGGATCGAAACTTCCCGGTTTGAGTGTCGCTGTCGTTGCTAGATTAGTTTGCCAAGTTCCCGAATGACAGCCCACACTTGGAGAACTGTGACCCCTAGATTGCGAATGCATGCATTGCAGTCTCAAACATTACCAGCTAGGGGTTTTGGAAAGGAGATGCGTACCCGGATGATCGGAAACGCTGGTAACCACACTGTTCATATGAACGCTTGCGGCTGCGATCGCTCCCAGCTGATCCGTCTTCGTTTTGCAAAACGCCATTGCTCCCTCGAGAACATTCCGGAATTCGTCCTCAAATTCCTTCATGATGGCACAGTAGGCAACCTGCAAGCAACACAACCATTGGCAAAGTAATCTCTAGATGGTACGCAAAACGATCTTAGAACACTGAAGTACCATACCATGAAGTCGTCAAGCTCCGGATTAGCTCCCACGCTGGTTACTACCGCGGGTCGAAGGTTCAGCAGCAGCTGGCCGGCTTCGTCGAGCTTTGCAACGCGGTCCGGCGGCGCACCAACCTTTTGGTTCAAACACAAACTTTGTAAGAAACCACTCCTCGTATCAATCCAGGAATCCCAAAAGCCGAAGAACACATCCACTACCTGAGCAAGCAATACCTTCTGGATGTTCAAGAGCGAGGCCAGGAGATCGGGGTAGTGCGCGTGAGCCACAATGGAAGCCTTCATCGTCTCATCCGTTTCAGTGGTCGAGATCGAGCTGGCCATGGATCCCGGCGGTGGCGCCAAACGAGCGCCGCTGCTGCTGCTACTGGCACCGCCGTGGTGATGGTGTGGCTGCTGCTCTTCCGGATCGTGGCGGCTGCCCTCCCCATGAGGAAAATGAGCTCCGTGGATGTGTTCCAGTAGATGCTTGCAGAGGTCGGCCGACTCGGGAGACATGGATTCGATGAACGAGTGATTGTCCCATGCGAGGTGCTCCATCGAGTAGCCGGCGGCAGCGGCGGCGGCGGCACCGTGATCGATTAGATGGTGCTGCTGTTGGGGCTCGGGATCTTCCTTGACGCAAGCTTGCGAGATGAGAGCGCTCGAGGCAGCTAAGAAGGCGTCGTGCTGCTCCGGAGTGGGGTGAGCTCCAAATGGGCTGTGTCCGTCGCGCTGCGAGATATCAAACCATGAGTCGACCACGAGAAGAATTCGTGTGAACTTACCCCGGGGGATCTCTTTGGGGAGGAGTGCCTGTCCATCGGCTCCATGGGAAATTTCGATCAGGATGTCCTTGGAAGCGCTCGACTATAAGCACTGGAACATTTTCTCGTCTCCTTGCCGCCGCTTTACGCCTAGCTCCTAACCGCAAAAGCAAAGAGCGCTGCGCCTGCGACCCATGATGCGAGGATTGCCCAAATCCCTCGCTGCAATTCTTCACGCGGCTTTTCGTTTACCCACACAAAAGTCGAGTGTGCGATAAGCTCGAGCGTGGTGATGACTCGTCAGGTATGTGAATGTCTTCTCGTCCTCCCCAACATACAGTCCATATACGGTGCCAACAAGCTCTGAACTAGCAAGCTGAATCTTTCCCTACCGAGTTTTCCTTCTCTTATTTCTTCTCCTTTCCCGAATCCTAGCCTATATACTTCCAAGTTCTCCGTTTTTTGATATGCCTGTATGATGCCTGTGTATCTTATCGAGACATGTACATCTGAGCTAAAGCTAGAGAATGGCTCTCAGTAGCTCGCTGGAGTGCCTGTTGATTTTAAGTCATGGCTGGGTGTGCGAGAAGTCTGGATCCGAACCGAATCCAGTAACGAGCAGCTAGCAAAACAAAGAAACACCATCATCACATCTCTGGAAGCACTAAATATCTGCTGTATTTGCTGCAGACGATACGAAGGGCGGGGAAGCTCGAGACTGGAAGAGCATCTCTGGGTATATTCCAGGAGAGGCTAGCATGGCACTGGCAAAGGGGGGATTTCTGGTGCTAATCTGGATGGAGCAGCTTTGCTCCGGATCTGGATTTGGATCGCGGATTGCGGATTGCTGCGCTGCGGGCTTCAAAATTATCCTTCGGCGCCCCCCGCAGTTGAAGTCCGAGAAAAAAAAAATGGAGTTTTGAGGAACAGAAGGAGAAGATACGGAGGAGGAAAGTTGCTAAGAAAATTAAAAAAGCCCCTATAGTTTTCGGCCGGTAACAAACTTTGTTTGATTCACACCATCAAAGTTTAAATGCAGAGGATCTGGTGATTATTAAGAAAATCCCTCTCCTTAAACAGGGATTTTGTGTACGCCCCCAAATCGGAATTACGGGGGCCGCGGACAACGACGTTTTCCATTACAAATCGCCAACTTACGATTTTGAGCTCGATCACACAAAAAAATTGAAAAAAGCCAACCCATCTTTGTAACATGAAGGTTGGCATTTTCCAGAGCACAATTTGTTGTACGTTGTTGGAACACATTGGCGGTGATGGACCCTCACCAAAGCTTTCCAATGTAAAATATAAGAGGGAAAAACTCCTCGAATTCAGTCCGACTATGGTGATAATTTTGAAAAGCTCGGTTTAAGTTGAAGTAATTAAGTGCTCAAGCAAATAAACAAACAAAAAATTTCCGAGACCAAGCCTCCTCGGTTAACGAGGCATCACTTGACCTTTAAGTAAAGCAAGCCTCTGCCTCTCAGACTTTGATGTCACAAACCTTTTGTTGGTCGTCTTGTTGTTTGCCGATCGCATTTCATTTCCTTGTCCAGCTTTGTTCCTCGAGCCAGATGCATCCCATGGCACACAACACTGCTCAAACATGTCGTACGCACGACTGGTCAAGAGAGCTCTGAGGAAGGAAGACTAAAACCTCTCAGGGGAGACTTGCAGCCAAACGCCAATCCACAGGCTTGCTGAAAAGACCGCAAAAGAGGCTGCAATGCAAGAACAAGGGCTGCTTAGAACAGAAATACTTCTACCTTATCCTCAAAAGACAGTTGCACGTTGAATTATTGTTTCGCTCTGCAGACAATAACCTGTGGGAAAAGAGAAACATTCAGAAACAAAAGCTATTGTCGCTGTTTTAAGAGCTGCATTAATTCATACCACCACCAGAAAAACAATAGAAAACAGAAAAGAAAAAAAAATAACCTGGATACAGTGTGCACGCTGAATTATTGGACCGTATCGCCTGATCCAAGTGCTCTCCGGGACTTCTTTATTCAGATTGTTCTGATTTTCGGCTTGAAAAGAGCCCAAGCAGTGGAAAAAGAAGTGGCACCACGCAAGGGGCTCGACTAATCTGCCAGCCAGCAAGCCAGAAAGCAACCTTAGTCTGTAACGAGAGAGCTCAACAACAGACCTCTTGCAAGTTTTTTAAAGGATTTGTAAAGTTGGCCAACCTGCCTTTTTCTTTTCTCCATGCCACTACAGGGAAAGGACACGTGGATTCCAGTAAGTCAAGATCAGGATCCAGGCAAATCTCCTTCTCTGAGAAGAACTTCGAATCAAGAGCCCTGTTGCGCGACAGAGCTGCTCCTGTTTTATTAGAAAGCAGCGAGTCTTATACCTACAAACAAGAGTACGCCATCTCTTTCTCCTCGATGAGCTCGTCGGCGGTTGCGTCAAGCTTCGTTCTGGAGAAACCATCAATCAACAAGCCTGCGAAACACACGACTGTTTAAGACAGATCAAAGAATCGTGTAGTGTGTACCTTGGACAATAGACCACTCCCCGTTCGCGCAGGTCACCGGGAAAGAGTAGATTACTCCCTTGGGAACTTTGTAAGAGCCGTCAGACAGGACTCCCATTGACACCCAGGTGCCCTGCAATTTCCGAAGGAGTTAGCAATAGAGCCAGAGGGAAGTTTTTGACTTCAAACCTTGGGAGTTCCCAGCACCCAGTCACGGATATGGTCACACGCAGAACTTGCAGCAGACAGTGCACTGGAGAGCTTCCTTGCCTTGATAATTGCAGCACCACGCTGCTGGACGGTGGTAATGAAGGGCCCGTTCAGCCTGGAATGATAAACAAAACAAATATAAACTTCAAAGAAAGAAAGAAAGAAAGAAGCTTGCCATTCGTCGTCGTTGACAACTTCACGAACAGGCTTCTCTCCCTTGGGAGTAATCACCACAGCATGATTAACATCCGGGTACTGTGTCGACGAGTGATTTCCCCAGATAATCACGTTCTTCACGTCCGAGACCTGGAAACCAGTCCTTTCAGAGATCTGCCCCAGCGCTCGGTTGTGGTCCAGCCTCGTCAAGCAAGTGATGTTCTTGTCAGGAATGGAAGGAGCAAACTCCTTGAGGATCAGCGCATTTGTATTGGCTGGATTAGCAACCACCAGAACCTGTCACGCCCACAGTCATGAGCTTCCGATACGTTTTGTATTTCTATGGTTACCTTCACGTCCTTGGCAGCACACTTTTCAAGAGCAGAAGCTTGAGACTTGTAGATGGAGACGTTCTTGGACATGACATCCTTTCGTTCCATCCCTTCCTTCCTGGGAAATCCTCCAACCATCACTGCGATGTTAACATCCTTGCAAGCTTCCTCCACATCCGTGGTGGCGACCACTCCTGAAAAAAAAAAAGATTGGTGGAGAGACTTTCTAGCTAAAAAAAAGGGATCGCATTGAAAAACTTACCTTTAAGCAAAGGAAATGCCGAGTCGATGAGCTCCATCTTGACTCCATTGAGCGATTCCGCCGCGGGCGGAATATCCAGCATGTGAAGGATCACAGGCTGGTCCGGCCCGAGCATGACGCCCCTCGCAATCATCGGGACGAGCGCATACCCGATTTGCCCTGTCGAGCACCGAAAATTTCGCAAAAGTCTGTCAACGAAAGCCATAGATCTTACCCGCAGCTCCAGTCACAAGAACACGCACTGGCTGCTTCGCCATGGCAGAAATTCGATACCGCTTCCACGCAATCCAAGCGCCGGCGACGACGAGTACGAGCGCGCTGCCGCGGAGAAGAAGAGCAGAGGGAGCTATTTTGATTGCGCTGCCCGAATTAGATCCCTGGAGCTAGAAAAAAATCAGCGCCGCGAAACGATCGATCCAGCAAAGCTCGCGAGAAACGATGACCTAAATAATTGCCTTGCTAAAGAGAGCTAGAAACAAAATCGGAGGCAACGGACAGGGCCAGGTATCGAACCTCGGACTGGTACCAATAGAGCGATTTAAACTGGCCGTCCGATTGCGCGGGCAAATACAGCATATTCGATAACGAACAGGGTAGGGTTTTGGGCGTCCGATGGATATGGAGGAGGACGAGGAGGAAGGCGAGGAGTGCTGTATGAGGTACTGCGTAGTGGACGAGGAGGAGTACGTGATCACGACGCGCGAGGCTGTGAAGCGCCATTCATCGGCCAAGGATTTGAGCGTGGTGAAAGGGACGACGCTTGGGGAGATCTTGGAGCGCATTAGGGCAGCGGTGGGGACTCGCGATGGCACGGACACGGCCGTGTTTGCTCTGTCGAGCTTGAGTTGGATCCCAATCCGGGAGGAGTATTTGCAGCGACGGATCGACAAGGGGCTCTATCTCAAGGTCGTGAGGGCGCCAATCACCGAGATAAGCTATGGCTTGGCAGAGCGATATGGTAAATTTCCTCTTTCATTTCCTTTGGGTTCTTCCATGTTTGCAAATTCATGACTTGAGAGACTATTTGGTGGATTTCTGTTTGGTTTCTTTTGTGTCAAGTGAATTCATAGTCGATTTTGGGTGGTTTTGGGCGTTTTAATTTCCCATTGTGTTTACATTGCAGTTGTTCATGATGGGAGAAGGCAGCACGAGGAAGAAACTTGGCAATTTTTTTGACGTCCGAGCTTGCGGGTTGGACGTTATTGTTGGTTGAATCAGACGTAAGCCATTGCGGTTTCATCTTAGTATTGATTTACTTACCGGTTTTTCTTGCATTTGTCCAGAACTGATCTAACTGATGCTCCTGTCGAATTCTTTCACAAGTGAAGTCGAGCAAAGAGGTTTGGCTTAAGTTCTCTGAACTTTTCTTTACTTTAAATTGTTTAACATCAGGTGCCACGAAGCAGGAGGTGAAAACAAAAATCAAACTTCATCATAGAGTTGGAATGGAAAACAAAACAATAATTTTAAACTTTTTCGTTACAATTTCGACCTCAAAAAGAATTTAGTTTTTTGGCCCACACAGGTCTCGAACCTGTGACCTTGGCGTTATTAGCACCACGCTCTGACCAACTGAGCTAGAAGGCCACCATTAATAAAACTTGGTTTCTTTCAATTATATTACGTTGACTTTGACAGTACCTCCGAGAAAAAGAGTACACTTCAAACTTTGAATCAATACTCATAGTCTAAAGAAGCTGGATGTGAAGCGAATATATTTGTTTGTATTATGGTGGTAGAGTTCTAGAATAAAGAGTTTTACCTTAAGAATGAAATATTAAGAGCTTATCATAAAAATTATATATTTTTATAAATAATTTTAAAATTTTTTATTTATTTAAAAAGTTTAATTTGTTGTTATTTAGTTATATATATTTGGATTTGAGTTTATGTTGAAGTATAAAATATTAGTTTCATAATTCAGGAAACAAAAACAATTTCTTCATCTATTGTGTAGGGGATTTGGGCCTGTCGGAGCCATCCTTTTTGACACTACGTTGGGATCCACTGAAAAACTCTCAGGTCCTCGTTGAGCTCTCAACACCCTGTGATTATTCACTTGGAGCTCTCGAGCAACACCAGTGGTGATTGACAATATCAGCATCAACAGGAGCATCACAAAGTAGAGCCTGCCCAGTGCCATTCGAAGGGCCTGGAGATCTCTGCCAAAAGCCATGGAGCATTCAGCCTGCCAAGGAATAAGAAGACTAAAATCAAGTTCCAGCCATTGTCAAAAACACCATCGCAGGCATTTTGGAGCTCCTTTAGAGATCCTTCTCTCTTCTCTCTATTTATTCACGAGCAAAAGAAACAAACCTCAAAGACCCCATGATTCCGTTGCTCCTCGAACAACCGGCGACGAGTACATAAGATTTGTGCCTTGGATCTCGAAATCTCACGACAAGGATCAGTTGTGCAATCATCCAGACCCCCAGAAACTCGAGTGATCTTTAGATAGAGGGGGACACACCGAAAAGAGGAGAAGATTCAAGCCGGGAAGCAAACAGATCTATACACCGCTTTTACATGACAGCCTTGTGAGTGGGGTACCAAATCATTTATTTCCGCTGCCCGGATCGTCCTTTGGCCGCTCCATATTCTCTCTGCCTGACGCAATGCTTGCCGCGGCTATAATCTTCCCAGCCGTCGTGTGGAGCTTTTATAGTGGAGCTCCCTCTCGGCTTCTTTGTTTCACACCTTGCAAGTGGGAGAGTGAGCTTTACGTGTTTGCATAGCTTTTCTAGAGATGTTTCGATAGTTACTTCTTCGTGTCTTGTAACTTCTCGCGAGCATGTACATATCTTGGGTGGGTTTCATGAAATGCGGCACTGAGGAGCCTTCAATTATAGCGACCAATTCGGCCGAGTCGAGTACACATAAACTCATCGCATGGATATTGCGAGAGCTCGAAAGGATCTCTTCTCCTGTTTATGGAGCACATCATGAGTATGAATGCAACCAGGACTAACCGCGAATTTCTTTCTTCGTGCGTGTTTCCGATCTCTTTTCACTGCTGGATCGTAGTTCCAACAGCTTCCACTCGATAATCTGTGGACAGGATCTGACTGCATATGGGAATCACCTTTTCTGAAAACACCTGAAGCCAAAGCAGGAGTGAAAAGAAAAGAGAATGTCCATAAACTTACAGAGACGTAAGCTTCGTGCTTGTTGAAAGCTTCTAATGCGTCCTCTGTAAGAGAACACCCCTTGCGTTTGAGAGCTTCGAGCTGGATTGAAAAGTTTACTACCTGATGGAAGCCTGGCGACGATTGCATGCGTGTAGCCTTGATTCTGAGCGGAGAAGATGACCCCTGAAAATCGTGAAAACGAGTGAGTAATCTAGATTACGCAAAAGCAGCTTACCTGCAGTGAGCTGGACGAGAACCGTGGGTAGCATCTCGGCCAGCTTGCACAAAGACTGGAGCATATCTTGGACCCTGTCCGCTGAAGCGCTTTCACTGACTTTGAGTAGAATGATATGCTCGATGCCGCTCTCAAATTCCTGGCAGGAGCATAAATGCTTTTGAACACCACGTCAATAGCTCGTTACCTCACCACGACGGAAGAGAGGTTCTAGACTGTCCTCTACCTCGGCTTCGAAGTCTGCAGTGATAAATCCCTGCCACAGTTTGAAGACGAATTAAAAACTTGAAGAAATTCTTTACACTTTCAAGGACAAAAGAAAATGTATTTAAAGTTTCGGACCAAGAACAGGAGCTCTGAGGAAGATTATCTTACGTTGCAGTATGGAAGCACGAACTCCTTGGCTACTTTGGAATGTGTTGGATGCTCATTGTATTTCAGCAAGAGATCTTTCGAGGCAAAACGCATGAGGATGCCATGCGTGCAACGCTCTTGATTTTCCGAAAGAATCCGGCCTGGAATCGCAAAATATATCTGTTCGTCACCATGCGAAGCAACGAACTAAAAGAAAGAACGCGAGTTCTTACCCAAGGAAACGCACAGGATGCCTCTAAAGTGATACTGAAGAGTGTACACATTGTCCAGCATGGTCGTTTCTTGCTCCTCCGTTAAATCCTCCTTCATCTTCAGCAAGACAAGATGATCCACCACTTTCCTGCGTTACAACAAACCAATCTCAAACACCAACCATGAAAATTTTTCCATACCGCATTGGTTTGTTCATCGCGCAATCCAGCCCAGCAAAGGCCTCCACGCTGCTAAAATTCCTCCCGAGACGGCAAACGCGGTGGCGAAATTTATAAGTTCTTCGCCTTCCTCCGGGCAAATTATCTGCTAGAAAAAGGAAGAATCCAGCTCCAATTCCACACGCATTCGCAGAATAGATCATACCAGTTCGAAGGATGGGTCTCCTGATCCCCGCAGTGCTGTAGTACTGACTAGCCATAAGCGCCATTTTATCGCCATGGCGCCACTCAAAGACAAGCTCTAAAACCCTATTTTGTTATCCACCTCATATGGCCACGATAGCGCCACGTCGAACAAACTTTATCCAACGTGGCCCTAACGAATATTCTAACCTCTAGAAAACCAGCTGAAAGAAAGACACGTTGCGTGGGACACGTCGCGGCCATGCATTGATGGTGGGAGCGTATGTATGTTTGTATCCGTAGAGATACTCTATCCGCGAGGGTGAGATCGTAGCTCTCGCGTTCTTTAAACCCTATCCTGTGCGAAATTTCTTTTCTCGGGATGATCCTGGTAGCGCTGCTGGCGGATCTTTTGGGCGCTTGCTATATTCTTTTCTCCTCTGTCGTGATCCAGCTCGTGAATGAGTTTCCAATCCCGAGCCGCGTGCGACGGATGATCTTGGAGCGCCTGGTGTCCGGAGGATGGAGATAGCAGCGCTAGGGCACGATCGCGGGCATGGAGACGCCGGCGAGGATGATCGGCCTCGCGATTCGCAGGTGTGATGCCCGGGTTCTTGAAATTTCTTGAAATTTCTTAAAATTTCTCCATATTTCGGTGTAGAAGGATAGAGCGCACGGCACTGGCGCGATCGTCGAGCCGATCGATCGAGCAGCCGGAGAGGATGTATCTGCCAGGCGCGCATTGGCTTTCGCGGCTAGGAAGACGAAAGCTGCTGCGGATGCCGCCACTCAGCGAGCGGCAGACGCCGCCGCGCAAGAGCAAGGTAGTATGAGACAGGGCGAAATCACTGGTTTGCAAGCAGCGCGGCAAAATGCGGCTGTGGAGCAAGCTTCTCAAGTAGCCGCGGTCTATTCTCCAGCCAAGAAGAAACAAACTACGTTGGTACCCACTGCTCAAGCGCCGGTTCCACCAGGAATTCCTCCACAGTGTCCTGCTCCTACTGCTGCTATCCAGGCACCGATACCAGCAGTAACTTCATCTGGTAGAGTGCCCTTTTCTTTAAACTGTTCTTACGTGGTTTTCTGGCAGTCGAAGGAATGGAATGCCAAAAGTTTCTCTACGAGGTGGCGAATCAAACAGCTAGGAGTGCGACTGCCCAGATGGCTGCCGCTGAGAATCTCGCGACAAATGCTCGAGACACTGGTACTAGACAGGTATATAGTTCCGATTTGGAAAAATTCTTTGCGTTTGTTCTTTAGCTGTGTTACTCACGTTGACGCTCGTGAATAGGAAGCGGAAGATCAGGCTACGAAAGCGCAGAAGAATATGGGATTGGCCAAACAAATGGCGGAGGCTGCACAGTCGCCTGCTGTAGCTGTCCAAGCCGTCGCTGCCATCCAGAAAGCCTGTTCCAATAAACACGAGTCCTGAGTAAGCTCTTTCAAGACTACTATTGACTGGAAAATAAACTTTGTCCAGTTTGCTCAGGACTGCAACCCAAAGGATTTGAACCACGAACGTTATCCAGAAGAAATCTATATGCTCTTCTAGAAATCGATGGCTATGGTGCTCTCTTCCGCCAGTCCAGCAGTAGTAACTCTTGGTGTTCTCGGATCATTTCACAAGCGTACGCTTGTTACTCAGTCGCTCAATTTTTACACGGCACGATCGCTGCTAAGGTTTGAACCACTGTCAGCTCAGATCCGAGGGAGAAGCCGCCATAGCTTGATCCGAGCAGCAGCATCATCAACTGGGCCATCTTCGGAGAGAAAAGAGGAAGTGTTCTTCGATGGTGGTCCACATTACGGTGATCTGGTAGCCAACTTGGTGTTTGGCTTCACGCTTTTCTGGCTACCATTGACAGTCGCAGCGGTGTTCCGGGCCTTGTTCTTGAGGTACAGGTTCACAAACTACAGAGTGACTATTCTTTCGGGATTAACAGGTGGTGATAGGAAAGACTTCAAGTATGACGCGATCAAGGACGTCAAGTATGTCCCACGATTCATCGGCGAGTGGGGCGACGTTGTGATCACTCTCAAGGATGACACCAAGGTGGAGCTCAAATCCTTGCCCAGATTCAGAGAGATCGCAAAGTTCTGTCTAGACAAGTCTGGAGTTTCCGGTGGCGGCTCTGTGGAAGAGATGGAAGTCAAGAAGAGGGGATTTTCGTGAAGCTTTAGAGTTTGAGGCGAAGTATAAGATGTGTTTCTTCCAAGGGAAAAGAAAAAACTTTACGTTCAGTATAGAGGTAGAAAAGCTTGCAATGGGTGGCTGACGCGTGGCTAACTAAATGACGAGCGTTGTCTTTAAAGTCAACGTCAGTGCTTTGGTCGATGGTCATTGACACGCAAACTTAGCTATGGCGGCTAAACCCTAATGTCATGGATGCTGCGGGGATTTCTTCGCGGAAACGCAAACGCTGAAATTTCGGGAAGGAAACACACGTCCCATCTCTCTCTCTCTCTCTCTCTCGCTCTCTCTCATATAACTACGGGGTGACCTCGCATTCTTCTATTAGGGTTCTTCCTTTCCTCTATCACCAATCTCCCCCGTAGTATCACTCCTCCGCCATGGGGACGCTCGTCGGCCATGTCGCGCCTGGCATCGGATTCGCGCTCATCGGCCTCTGGCATCTTGTCAACATCGTCAGGAGCTACATCGAATCGCCGTCGGGATTCGAGGCCCGCCCCTGGTTCCCGGTAAAAATCTCCAGGAGATCGCGCTTCTCCTCGCGATCGATCGTCGTCTACGCGGAGCTCTACCTCATAATCTTCGGATCCGCGCTCTCCATCGCGTCGGAGCTCTTCATCTGGCCCGAGAAGCACCAGCCGCTTGCCGACGATCTCTCCATCCCGGCCAATCACCTCAACAATTTCGAGCACTCGTCCATGTCCTTCTTCTTCCTCGTCTACGCGGCCGTGGCGCTCGTCACGAATCTCCTCAATCTGGCGCTCCCGCCGGGGACGCTCCATCTCTTGGCGGCCCTAGCATTCAGCCAGGAGCTCCTCCTCTTCCATTTCCACTCGGCAGATCATATGGGACTCGAAGGACAGTATCACTGGCTGCTCCAGCTCGCCATCGCGATTTGCCTCCTGTGCACCGTCCTGGAAATCTCTCGCCCGAGCTCCGTCTTGCCGGCGCTCGTCCGCGCGGTAGGGATTCTCTTCCAGGGACTGTGGCTGATCCAGATGGGGCTCGTGCTCTGGATTCCAAGATTTGTTCCCACTGGCTGCCGGATGGTCTCGGAGGACGATCACGACGTTGTGCGCTGCGCCGACGAGGGATCCACGATGCGAGCCAAGGCGCTTGCCAATCTCCAGTTCTCCTGGTACCTGGCCGGGGTCGTGATCTTCTCCATCGCGCTGCTGTGCTCCTTGATCCAGCGATCGCGCTCGCGGCACGGAAATGAGTACGCGAGGATGGATTCCAGCGAGGGCGAGCAGGAATTTCGGCACAAGAGCTCCGGATCGCACAGCTCCATCGAGATGGAGGAGGGATTTCCAGCGCTGGAGCTGGGGCGATGATGGACAATCGGCTGGACAGATGGAAGATGCTCGAGCCGAGGTGAGATAGCTCCCCAGAAATTTGGATTGGAATTCCCCCCCTTTAGAGTGTTTCCTGTCTGTCTATTCTACCGTCGTCTTCTACCAAGATGTACAAAAGACCAAATTGAAAAGATTCCGTGTTCTCGTTTGAGTATATTCGCATCTTTGGCGGGTTTAGGGTTCTTGGAGGGAGGGAATGGGAGAAATGGAGGAAGAGGCGACGGCGATGGAGGTGGACGACGGCGCTGTTGATGTTGATCCGCCGCGGAAGCTTACGGCGGCGCAAAAAGGCAAGGCGCCGATGACGCAGGAGCTACAGCGATCCGGGCCCTGGGTGGAGAAGTATCGCCCTGCGTCTCTCGCGGACGTTGCAGCGCACAAGGATATCATCGATACAAGTAAGATCTTAGCTGCTTTTGCAGATTATGTAGGGATTTCTCGCGATCTTGGGAAGAATGTAGTGATTCTCTCGGCATTTTTTAATTCCTCCCTCTTTCTTGCGTTCTTCGTCTTTTATTGTTTGTTATCTTCCTTTTTTGTAGCTCATTTTGTCCATGCCTTTTCGAAGTTGACAGGCTCACTGCGGAGAACAAGTTGCCCCATTTGCTTCTCTACGGGCCTCCCGGGACAGGAAAAACATCCACGATTTTGGCTGTGGCACGCAAGCTCTATGGTCCGCAGTTCCAGAATATGATTTTGGAGCTCAATGCCTCGGACGATCGAGGTATTGATGTTGTGAGACAGCAGATACAAGACTTTGCTAGCACGCAGAGTATCTCCTTTGGGTACGAGAGTTTTGTTTTTGTTTCCTAACCTTTTTGTTTTTTTTTTTTTTTTTTTTTTTCTTTTTCTTTTTTTCTTACTTACCGAATAGTAACCACAGAGAGAAAGCGAATGTTAAACTTATAATCCTGGATGAAGCAGATGCCATGACCAAGGATGCGCAGTTTTCTCTGCGGAGAAGTACGTTGTCGTTGCTTAGATTGAATCATCCATGACAGTTTTCATTCGATAGTCATTGAGAAATACACGAAGAACACAAGGTTTTGTTTGATTTGCAACTACGTCAGCAAGATTATCCCAGCGCTGCAGTCTCGATGCACACGTTTTCGTTTTCCTCCTCTTCAAGCACAGCATGTCAGGGAGCGCCTTGAGTTCGTAATTGACCAGGAAAGGTAAGCAATGTTTTTGTTTCGAAATATCGTTTTTGACAAGTTTTTACAAGGCTGGATGTCACGGAAGATGGCCTGTCTGCCATCGTGAGACTTAGCAATGGCGACATGCGGAAGGCTTTAAATATCCTTCAGGTCAGTGATGGAAACGCTTCTTGTCGCTGCTCATACTGCTTGTTTATTCTCCGTAGTCGACGCAAATGGCCGAGCCGCATGTCACGGAAGCAGCAGTTTACTCATGCACAGGAAACCCCACGCCAAAGGAAATCGAGCAGATTGCGTCCTGGCTTCTGAACGAGTCATTCCAGTCGGCTTACAGCAGTATCCTTACTAGCACAAAACTTCTCCTTCCTTTGCTGCACAATCCATCTTAACTCTGCCCAGATATCGTGCAGCTAAAGACAAGCAAAGGACTGGCGCTGGTGGACGTTGTTAGGGAGCTGCAGCCGTAAGTAAGCTCGTACTACCTCTCTTGGCATTCAGAACCTATACTACGTTTCCAGGTTCATCTTTACCATCAGCATGCCCGGCAACATCCGCGTGCCTCTCATCAATTGCCTCGCGGACATCGAGTACGCTGCACTCTTTTCTTCTGTACATGAGCTGAAATTGTGTGTGCGTTCTGTTACAGGTACAGGCTTGCGTCTGGACCCAACGAGAAGCTCCAACTGGGAGCGCTAGTGAGTGCCTTCACTCACACACGCGTAGCCTTGGTTTCTGCCGCAAGATAAATCTGTGAGCGAGTTTCTGTCCCTGTCATCGACTGTTCTAACCTCAGGCTCTGGTTCCAGGTTCCAGTGGAGGTAGTGGAAGAAAACATGTTTGCAAGCAAGAGCAACGCTGTTACGTCCTTTCTTGATCCAGTGTCGAGCACACGTTTCGCAATTGTAACTCCGTCACGGACGTCGCTGTGGCTTCCACAGGCCCCGAGCAGGGAAGTCCACTCTATTGCATCACCTTCATACGGCATACTGCTGATGAGATCTTTAGCGTCTTCCAGATATCCAGCTCTGCTGAGCAAGTCCACCATGCAAGAGTAGTGCTGCCTCGTTGGCTCTAGCCAGTAGTCCTGGATCATAGACTGGAAGCAGCGGTTTCCAGCGGAAGCTTTGCCGCCCTGGCTGCAAGCAGTGACAAGCAAGCTGAAACAAATCTCATCGGGAGTCTCCGTGAGATTCATCAATACAAAGGTGGCGAACGCTTGTTTCCGGTGATTGTTTTGGCTGTAGGCGGCTAAAAGCGCGGTCCAGGCAATGGCATCACGCTCGGGCATGACGCTGAAAAGACTTTGAGCTTTGAGTATATGCCCGTTTTGGGCATATGCTACGAGCAAGGCATCCCAGGAGATTAAGTCCCTCTCGGGCATTTGGTTAAAAATCGCTGTGGCGGTGTCCAGTTGCTTGTTTTGGGCATATGCCCCCAGCATCGAAGTCCACGTTACTATGTTATGTTCTGGCATCTCGGACGCAATGCGATTAGATTCGTCCAGATGCCCTTGAAAGGCATATGCCGCGTAGAGGGCATTCCACGTCATGAGATTCCTTTGTGACATTGATTCAAACAATGCTTTAGCTTCCTCGACGCAGCCGTGCTGGCTGTACATCGTCAGCATGATATTCCACGTCACTAGATTCCATTGTGGCATTTTGTTCAAGAATGTGTGTTTGGCAGCTGTAAGATTCCCGTGTTGGGCATATGCTGCCAGCATGGCATTACACGTAACTACATTTTTTTGCGGAATTTTGCTAAAGAGATTCTCTGCCTGCTCCACAAGTCCCTTCCTCGCGTACATAGAAATCAGAACATTCCACGACACGGAATCTCTGTTTGGCATTGTATCAAACACTCCCCGCACTTCTGTAATATACCCTCTTTGGGCATATGCACAAAGGATAGAGTTCCATGAGACAATGTTGCGTTGCGGCATTTCATCGAAGTATCTTTTAGATTCAGAGAGATTCCCAGCTTCGGAATGTGCAGTGATCATACAAGTCCAGGATATCAAATCCCTTTCGGGCATAGTCTCAAACATAAGAGTCGCTCTTCCTAAACACAAGTTTCCAGCATATGCCGAGAGCATGCAGTTCCACGCAACAAGATTCCTCTGTGGCATATCGTCGAAAATCTTCTTGGCCTCCTCCACAAGCCCGTCTTGCGCAAGAGCGTCGATCACAGCCGTCCATGAGAACAGATCCCTGGCTGGCATTTCGCCAAAGACCATCTTTGCCACGTCAGTGTGCCCGTTTTGGGCATATGCCGAGAGCATGGACGTCCACACAACAATGTCCCGCAGCGGAATATTATCAAAAATCCCGCGCGCTTTTTCAAGATTCCCATCCTGAGAATATGCCACGAGCAAACACGTCCAGGACACAAGGTTCTGCTGAGGCATAGTGTCAAATATGCGCTTGGCGTCTGCTAGATGCCCATTCCGGGCATATGCCGCGAGCATGAGATACCACGAGAAGGGATTTCCAGCACCGACAACGCTGTCGAAAACAATCCGGGCATCTCTCACGCTGCCGCATCTAGCGTACATTTCGATCATGCGGTTGAGCACAAAGACATCGGTGCCAAACGGGCTTTGGGCGATGCGCTGGTGGATGATTCTCGCACCCGAGACGCTGGTAGAGGAAGCAATAATCTCCAGGCACTGCTTTCTGTCCATGGCATCTTTTCTATTTCGTAGAATATGCCAGTCGGACTCACGGCACAAACTTTGTTACTTTTGTCAATACCGGACCTGACACGTTTGGAAAGGCATTGTAGTCTTGTGAAGCAAGAGAAAACGAGTGTCGACAAGTAATCAAATTACATGTCGATAAAGCAATGGGATAGATTGACCAGAATCTTTTTTTTTTTTTTCTTGCTTCAATTTAGACAAGGTTTATAGAGGTTAACAAGTGCTGAAACTTGTAATGAGGTTGTGATCATTTAGTGTTAACGTTGAAAAAGCGACTGATTCTCGCCCGACCTTTTGAAGATTCATATGCTTACCGGTTTTTCTAGTAAGATTCTTTGAGTCTTTTAGGACGAATCTCACACAGCCTGGCCGTCACTCACACAATGGCCTTGGAGTTCAATCTAAGTGTATTTTCCTACAGTGTCTTAGGAGTGGAGCTTTTCGCTCACAAGAAGGGGTTGTTGACAAAGCCCCCTACAGCTATGGGACACCCTTGAGACACATTTAAAAAGCTATACCCTGTAGAGTTGAGTTGGAAAATTTCCTGCTATACCTTTAGAATAACTTTAATACATTGTAGTTCTGTAGACTTAGTCCCCTTTTTTACCGGTCGCTAATTTACCAGAAAATCGCGGGTGCAAAAACTGAAGATAATAACGATCAGTCAACAGTCAGCCAGTCCAGCTAGATTTATCGACAGCACACGCGGGCCAAACTTCCACGTGTTCCAGTCAAGGTCAGTGGCGGTCAAGTCGGGATTAAGAAGCTCTCGAATACATCAACGGCCATGTTGACCATGACCACCGGCCATTGCGGACCGCAGGAACGCCATCTCCGCCGTCCATGCGCCCCATCCAACGGCCGCCCCTGGTCCTTGTCTCTGTGTAACAGGGACCCCGTGATTTGGAGTTAATTGAGCCACTGCTCTGGCAGGGAGCCGGAATGGGTCTTTGTCTTGCGCCTTCGCAATGGCGTGTGGTATATGTATCATGTCTGGGTCTTCAAAGGAGAGGCCTGGAAGCTCGCAGCTTGAGCCAGGATATAAGTTTGAGTCGAGAAGGTAGATCACTGCCAAGAAATCGGGGTCTTTTAGTGGATTCAAGGAGCTCTGGAGAAGGAAAAACCAAGTTTTGATAGCGGTAGCAGTAGTAGCAGCGGTAGCAGCAGCAGCAGCAGTGGTATGGCCATCTCGCCGGTGCTTGATATCCAATTGCCCAGAGTTCCTACGCTGTTTCGATGCCCCATCTCGCTGGAGCTCATGAAGGACCCGGTGACGCTGAGCACCGGCTTGACTTACGACCGGAGCAGCATTGAGAAGTGGTTTGATGACGGCCACCACACCTGTCCCGGAACCATGCAGCTGGTGAAAGTCCGCGACTTGGTCCCCAATCACACGCTCCGGAGGCTCATCCAGGAGTGGTGCGTCGCCAACAAGTCGAGAGGCATCGAGAGAATTCCCACTCCAAAGCAGCCCCTGGACGACGAGCAAGCCAGCCACCTCGTCCGCCAGATCTCCTCCGCCGAGCTCTCGGGACGCGCAAAGAGCCGGCTCCTCCGGAACCTCCGAGCGTCGTGCAAAGAGAGTGAGAAGAACCGGAAGTGCATTGCCGGTGCCGGGGCGATCCCGGCGTTGAGCAGCTTGGTGTCTTCGTTCCAGCCCAGGATAAGTTTCGACAGGCCTTCGAATCTAGAGGACCTCCAGTGCTGCGAGGACGCGGTCGCAGTTCTCGTAATTCTGCTACCACTCGAGATCGAAAGTTTGAGAAAGTCCATCATCAATCCGTCGCTGCTGGCTGTTTTATCCTGGATCCTCCACCGACGTAACACCGAAGGCCAGATCAACGCTGCCCGCCTGCTCGAGCTTGTGGCGACTGACGATGAATCCAAGTCGATGGTGGGAGCGACTGAGAGGTTGATACCGGGACTTGTCAAGCTTGTCAAAGAGGACAGTGCGTATCCGCGAGCAGTCAGGGCGAGCCTGACCGCGTTGCTGGCCATCGTCTCCTGCCGAAAGAATCTCGTAAAGGCTGTCCAAGGTGGTGTGGTGCCGCCGTTGATAGAACTCCTCTCCGAGGCCAGCCGACTCAACACCGAAAGAGCTCTGGCTGTGCTCGAGTTCGTGGCCAGATGCGCAGAAGGACGGGAAGCTCTGATGGATCACAGTCTGTCAGTGCCGATGCTGGTGAAGATAATTCTCACGGTTTCGGATCTGGCGTCAGAGCGAGCAGTCGGGATCCTGTTGTTGATGTGCCAAGCTGATGACTCTGTCGTCCAAGCAGCTGCCAGCGAAGGTGCTTTTACTCAGATGATTCTTCTCATCCAGGCCGATAACACTTCGGAGACCAATCACCGGGCCAGACAGTTTCTTAAGTTGCTTCGCGGAGCTGTTCCTCGAGAGTGCATGCACGACTTTGCCTTCACAATGCCGTTTTGAACAGAAGCTAGCTTTTAGGATGCCCAGTGGTAGAAGAAACACGGAATCACAGAAAGTTTGGAACCCCCAAAACCTGTATAAACAAAAGGAAAACACACAAGTCTATTCTTACTTCCACTGTGCCAAAAGAGAACCATACCATTTCTTTCAATTCCAAACGTACACCCATTAGAAGTCCTGCACAGCAAGCCAACAAAGAAGCTAGGACAAATCAACTCTAGACCAATGTTAACGCTAAGAAAAAAGAATCGAAGGCGAATTACCTGGTCAAAGGTACTTGAAGCCAAAGGAGAGGTCAATTTCATCGTTCTCTCCATGAATCGCTAAGAAATAAGAAACAACGCTCACGCGCTCGAGATGAAGGGTCGTTGTGACATCATTGCGTTTGGGACCCATCCAAAGACCCCGTCTTGTCCGGGATCCCTACAATGCAAAGAAATGAGACACACTTTCACGGAGCCTCACAACAAAGCTAAAATCACTTCAATGCTTGTACTCGTACCTTTCCCTCGCTGTCAGCTCATCTCCGCAAGCTCCAAAATTTCGGGCTAGCGGCTGCGAACACTCTAGGCATGAAATCTTCGCTAGCTCTAACCTGTAAAATGGACGCGTGACAAGATTACCCAGCCTCCAGGCCGAAATCGATCCACGCCAGCGACAATGCCAGCGCCAGAGATTTCCCTCGCGATGCCCAAGAACCCTAAATTCTAATAAAGTAGGGCTTGTTAAACCCGCCTTGGTTTAAATTAAATTTTCCCTCTACACGGAGGTTTTAAATCTCTCCATCCCATAACGCTTCAATGCTTTCGTATGGACCGCCGGGAGCGACCCATACGCGTCCGACTAGTACTCTCTCCTGCGATAGCAATCAAGGTTACACGAAAGAAACTTGGAGAGAAGAACAATCGCGATACCTGGGGGATGCTCGAGAACTTTGCGAGCTCTTCCTCTGGAATGGAGAAATCAAACACTTGCAGATTCGATCTGAGGCGCTCCGCGTTCGTGCTCTTGGGAAGAACCGAGCAGCCTCGCTGCAGCCCCCAGCGCAGAGCGACTTGAGCGGGAGTTTTCCCGAGTTTCTGCGCGAGATCTTTCACGACGGGGCTCTGGAGCACGCTCTTGCCGGATGATCCCAGTGGAGAGTAAGCCTGCATTGTGATCGTTAGTTAGGATCAAACAGAAAAGAAAAAAGATGGAAAACCCTTTACCGAGAGATGGACGCCGCTGGAGATGCAAAAGTCGCGAAGCTTGGCTTGCTGCCAAACGGGGCTACACTCGACTTGGTTCACGGCCGGGGGGATCCGAGCAACAGCGAGCAAATCGCCCAGTTTCTTGCAGCTAAAGTTGCTCACGCCGATGGCTCTGGTTTTCTTGGCATCGACGAGCTTCTCCATGGCGGCCCAAGTTGCTGGAATGTCGAGAGGAGCAAAATCCGCGGCACTCAATTTGAAACCTCGGACATGTTTCTTCAAATGAACTGGCCAGTGAATCTAGATCAAAAAGTTATAAGCTTTTGGAGAAAATACAAGAAAAGCATAGTGTTTTACCAGGTAAAGGTCGAGGTAATCAATCTGGAGATCCGCGAGCGTTGCCTCCAAAGCCTTTGACACCTCCTCGGGATCATGATCCGTGCACCTAGATCAAGTTTTAGTTTTCTTCCGGAGATCACGCTCTACGTACCAAAGTTTGGAGGTGATCCAGAGATCTTCACGTTTTAGATCACCGGATTTGAAGGCCTCCTGGAGTGCATCTCCAATCTATAGAAAACAGGAGAATTGATGGAGCGATTCCTGGAAAAAAAAAGTGAAATTTCCTCACCTCCTTTTGGTTGCCATAAGCGCTTGCGCAGTCCAAGTGACGGTATCCAGCCTAGAGAAAAGAGAAAGAAGTCTAGAATGGACATGGACACACAAAGAGGAAAGAAATCATACCTGGAGCGCAGCCTTGAGAGCCTCTCCAACGACGCCTTTCTCCGCCTGCCAAGTTCCAAGGCCGAGGCCGGGCATGAGAGCGCCATTGCTGAGCTTGAATTGGAGCGCGCCCTCGGATCCCATCAGCGAAAATTCTTGCGCTTTTAGCATTATATGCTTGAGAATATTCCTTAAAACGTTAATCTTTAAAACAGTTCAGGGTTGACGGCTGTGGGATTTGAACCCACGCCCTTTGGGATTGGAGCCTAAATCCAACGCCTTAGACCACTCGGCCAAACCGTCGTTATCTCCCATTTACAATAATAGAATGTTAATCATGATTAATCTTAACCATCAGTATCTCTTTAATCCCCTTGAGCACTAGGGTTTAAGTTCCTCTCTAGAATGCGGATTGTGACGCTCGTCGCAATTGCCTTGCTCGCCGCCGGAGCTGCCCGTGGCGATGGCGATCCAGCCTCCTGCTCGGTCGATTACAGCTACGTCGGCGCCTTCTCCTCGACTCTGGATCACTGCCGCCGATCGCCTCCGGGTAAGAACAGCAGCGATTGCTGCTCCGCGCTGCTCACTACCTTTGGGATCGGCCTGGCCGACTACCTCCGGCGATCGGGAGGGTTTGAGTTCGCGGATCTCCCCACGGCCAATGCGTGCCTGAAATCCTTCCAGGCGGAGCTCGATTCTCACGGCACAGGCACGGATTTCGTCCGGGATTGCCCCTTCGAGCCGCCGATGTTCGTCCAGTCGCCAATCTGCGCGGGAGTTATGAATATTTCGGACTGGAAGAGGGTCGTGGCTCCAGATCTGGATCGCGCGCTGGAGCGCTCGTGTGGCGGCGATCTTAGCAGCGCCTTGCGGTGCCAGTCGTGCACGGACGATGTCACCAGGGTTGTTCTTGAGCTCCAGGGCCTCTCCAACAGCACCAGCGTCGGCCAACAGTGTGTTTACGTCTCGTGCCTCTATGCCGCCGGGGTGGTCAACAAGCTTGGGCCCAAGGAGCCCTCTACAGCAGTGTGTGTCCTTGGCTTGACTCCACCATCGGCAGGAGCTCCGGGAGGCTCGAGAGGGACCGACGCGAAGCTCTACATTGGCATCGGCGTTGGAGGCTCTGCGATCGCTCTAGCCGGAGCACTGATCGCGTGTATTTTCCTCTTCCACCGGAGACGGAAGAAGCGGGAGCTTGTCCAGTCGTCGCTGGTGGGACTGTCGAGGATGCCCAACCTGGGGCTCATCAAGTTCAGCTTCGAGGAGATCAAAGCTGGCACGCAGAACTTCAGCTCCAAAAACTTCATCGGCGAGGGTGGCTATGGCCGGGTCTATCGAGGAGTTCTCGCAAAGCGTGGGAACTCGGAGGTGGCGGTGAAAGTCATGAAGGCGAGCTCCAAGGAGAACAATGCCGAGTTTCTCAACGAGGTGGAGGTGATCAACCGGGTGAGACACAGGAATCTCCTCTACGTCCGAGGAGCTTGCGTCCATGCAAACGGGCCCGACTCGCAGCACATCCTCGTCTACGACTACATGCCAAACGGCTGCCTGCAAACTTATCTCTCGTCCGGAACCTTGTCATGGCAGCAGCGCAGGAAGATCGCCATCGGCATAGCAGTCGGGATAAACTACCTCCACAACGAGGTGGAGCCGTCTATCATCCACAGGGACATCAAGCCGAGCAACATCCTTCTCGACGAGGATCTCAACGCTCGAGTGGCAGACTTTGGGCTCGCGAAGATCAGCCCCGAGGGGATGAGCCACCTTACAACCAGAGTGGCTGGAACTCCGATCTACATGGCGGTCGAGTACGCTCTCTACGGCCAGTGCAGCGACAAAGTCGACGTCTACAGCTTTGGGGTCCTACTCTTGGAGCTCATGAGTGGGAGGAGAGCTCTCGACACGAGCCAAGAGAACCCGGTGCACTACCACATCGTGGACTGGGCGTGGAGCTTGGTCAAGGCCGGAAGATTGCCGGAGATCATCGATGAGAAGATCCGGGAGAGTGATCCGGCAGCCATTGTTCTCCAGCAGCGGTTCGTGCTGGTTGGCATACTCTGCGCACACTTGCTGGTGGCGGTCAGGCCTCCGATCTCTCAGGCTCTCAAGCTGCTCGAGGACAACGATACGATCCCCCCGATTCCAGATCGACCACCGCCTTACATCTTCGCAGGCCACACTCTGGTCGATGGAGAAGAAGTTAACTTATTTTCCAGTTCTTCTCAGACTTCGGCTCCTTGAACACTATTTTGGAGCAACTCTTTCTCTCGCTTACGCCATAGAAGCTGTACAGGCTGTGAGAGACTGGAACCTCTCTCTCTCACAAAATCTCCACCAGCAACGGGTCCCCGATCGACAAAGCTCTTATTCTTCTCACGATCTCCGAGACGTTTCTAGCGCTCCAGGGACGAACCAAGTGCTTGCTCTTCCGGTAAAACACGGCGGGATCGCGCCTCACGCTCGTCTCGGCCACGTACTTGAACGCTTCGGAGTCGTAGCTCGCTGGCTTCTCCATGGCCAAGAAGAAGAGCGGTATCGCCAGCTCCGGACGGAGCTCCAGTTTCACCCCGATTGGAACTAGGGCCTTGAAGTCGCTCACGTAGCGGTGGGGGATGTAGAAGGAATCGGAGCTCGAGACAACGAAGTGCATGTCGTCCATGCTCTTCCTGTAGTTGGCCAGCATCTTTGGGGACAAGCTACGAACAGCGGCTTTGATGCTCTTCTTGACGCTGCTTGCGAGATACCAGGCCGAGCCAGGTCGCTTGAATCCGATAACTTGCCATGTCGTCTTTGGCTGGATGGCTGTTCTGGACTGGAGGGGGAGGAGAGAAAGATCCATCAGGCTGGGCTAGAGCTGGGAAAGAGAAACAAGCTCACCTTTTGGAGACTCCAGAGCTTGTTTTTGTTCGAGGTGACGAAGTTCCAGTAGTTGAAGACGGCATCATCTTTGAGATAAAGATAGCCATCAGCGTGCGGGTAGCGATCAAACACCTCTGGAAGGGACCTGGAACAAAACTCTCAGAAACAAAAACAAGGAAGAAACTTGCCGAAGAACTTACTGATACGTGAAGTTTCCACCCTCGACTCGAAGGCCAGCATTGCTCTCCCGCGAACGAATCTCAACGTGCTTGAACAAGCGGCTGTAGAACATCCGCCATGCCAGGACCGTGGCATTCGCGTCGGGCGAGCAGTCGAGCACCAGGACGATGTTGCCAAAGTAACGCCGCCACTTGAGCCAGTCTCCCATCTCCTTCTCCAGCTGCGACGACTCGTGGATGCCGAGATAAACCGACGGCAGCGTCTCCGGCACGAACTGGACGTGCTCCGAGTTATACAGCAACGGGTCCACTCGTCCGAGCTCGAGAGCTAGCATCCGAGGCTGGCGGTACCCAACCGAGACGAGATCTTGCAACCACGCCACCGTCAAGTCGACGTTTTGTGCGCTCCAGTAGCCATTCTCAGCCATGGAGTGACTGAGATGGAGAATCCGCTGGAACAACGACCGCTTGTCCGACCGCCATGAAACCACGAAGTTGATGAGCCGCTCCATCTTGTGCAAGTCCTTCTCGTCCTTGAGAAGAATGGGATCCAGTTGATCGACACGGTGCGCTGTAGGAGGGAAAACCACGACCATCCCGCCAACTTCCCACAGCAGCCGCTGAGCCCAGTAGCCTCGAACGACGTCGGCAGCTCTCGAGCTCACGTCCGCCGGGATCATGAGTGACCAGAGAGCCGGGCTGTGGAACAAAGTGTTGACGGAGCTTACGGGTGCCATGGTTCCCTGCGGAAGCGCCACTGGCGGCGCTTGCAAATCGAACTCGATGCTCAGGGCCTCGCGCTCCGACCGCCGGGTGTAGTAGAAGAGCGCATCGACGTCCGCGAATCCATTCGCCAGCCCCTGCTGGATGAAGTGCCTCCCGGGAGCGATCTCGTTGTAGGCGACTTCGAGAGAGGTCTCTCCCACCATCCTCACGGGAAAACCTCGCGGCCACATCGATCTCTGGCCAAAGTGGACGTAAGGATTGACGATGGTCCGGTTCTCCACCATCCGGTACTGATATAGAGGCTCCCTCCTGCCCGAGGTTCCGCTCAGCTCCACGTCGAAGACTTTCTCCAAGTTTCCTCCGCGGACGATGATCTTCTCGTCCGCGTCGTAGATCTTGCGAGCTCCGTGCTGGATGGCGAAGAGGTAGCCAACGTTTTTCCTCGCGGGACCGTCTGGATCGATGTGGCTCTGGACCCGAAAGTTCAAGCCGGCTTGAGCGTCCTTGGAGAGGAAAATCGCCCCTGGAACTTCCCACTTGGTGGGAGTTTGAGAGTTTCCAAGAGCTAGAAGCTGCCACCCATCCAGCTTGGCGAGCTGCTGGATTTCTTCGCTAGGAGCTCCCGATACCGCCACGACGATCCACTTCTCGGACTTCAAGATCCCCTTGTCGACTTTCGCGCTGGCTGCTTCCAAGTCCACTCTCGGATATGGAATCTCTTCCCTCTGCCTGGAAGCCGACTCTATGCACGACAGCACCGCATTGTCGCCCCGGCTTCTCACCATCAAGAACACTATCGCGCTGAGGAACACGAAGAGCCCAATCACGATCTTCGGGAAATTCTCCACCACGAACGACTGAATCGAGGAGGAAGGCTCCGGAGGGGAGGAGCTTGGCGCGGGCAAAATCGGCCGCCTCTCAGTGTCTTCTTCCACCTCGCTCTCCTCGCTGCCCTCGAAATCTTCCTCATTGCGGCCCGGAATCACGGTGGTGGAGTTCGAATCTAGCTTGAAGTGCACACCATTCCTGGCCGGAGCCCCAGATCCATCTCGAGCCTCGCCATTCCCAGCCGGGGATGGGTCTATCCTGTCCTGCACGTACATTTCGCTTACATGAGCTGCGCGCAAAGATCTAGCGCGGCCTTCCACCAGATCCTACGCCCGCATTGCTGCTCCACGATCACCCAAGAACCCTAATTACGACTTCCCACCAAACATTTGGTAAAAATGACACGCAAAAATGGACGGCCAAGATCTTTTAGCGCCATAGCCGAGATTTCTTCTCGAGAGTTTCTCTCCTTTACCAGGCTCTTTACCAAACTCAAGAAAAGCTCGCGAAGTAAAGCTAAAGCCATAAATCTAGAAATCGTCTTCAATCTCGTCACACTCGTCGGCAGCACTGGTGATAACTTTTGGAGATCTCGGCTTCCAAGCGTCGCGAGTGAACGCGGAAATATTTCGCAGGAATGGAATGTACTCGGTTGCCTGCTCAACCGGACCAATATTACTATCTCTCAACGACGCAAAGATCTCCCTCTGCAGCACGAACCGAGAAGAAAAAATAAAAACTTTTGCGTTAGCTCGGATCCACCAAAAGATGTGAAAGCATCACCTTCTTGCTTGATAGCGAGCGCTCAACTTGCCAAAGCATGGGACTTCTCAGCGTCTGCCATCTGTTTAAAGAACCAAGTTTAAGTTGTCCGGAGAAAGACAAGAGAAAAAGAAGCTACCTTCGAGGAGCAGGGTGTGTGTTACCAAAAAGAACACCCCGTGCAGCTAAAGAAGCAGCCGCAGCTTCTCCAAGTTGCGAAGCATTCGTCCATCCGGAATCTAAGAGGGGCCCTCTCGACTGCCAGGAAAATCTTGCACCAACGAGGTCTGCGTCACTTATGTACTGGATGATGTCCGCAACGTCTTCGATGGCATCGTCATCGACAAAGTCTGGCACTGCACAAAACGATCAAGGATTATAATCAAGAGCTGAGCCAGTACCATTCTCGTGGAGAAAAGAGACGAGTGTTGAAGCTTCGGCGTGCGACTGGGATATGACTAGCTCGGGATCTTTCATTTGCAAGGGTGGTCTTTGATACTGTTGCTGAAGTGGACACGAAAGTTTTTCACCTGCAAAAAAGAAATGTCGGTCACGATTCTTAGACAACAACAAGTACCAACCTGATTCAGACTCCGCGTCGGCCACTCGCTTGTTGTGCAAGAATTTTCCAAGAGCATGAAATAGAGATAAGATGTGATCCCTACCGCATTTCGAACCATACTGTTCTTTGGGAGGTTCGTCGTCTGGAGTAGAAGAAGCTCCGCGAACTTGCTGGCGCTTTCGTCTTCTTGACTCGGATTTATCGGATTTCGAACTATTGAGGCAGAGAAATTGGAGATGTAGGATGGCGTGTCTGATATCTCCCGCGGCGGTTTGAGCAATTTCAGCCACCATTTCGCTAGGTACACGGCATTTCTTCGCTTTGACAAGATTAGCCAAAACTTTTTTAATGGCGTTTACAGTGATCGGGTTGAAGGCAATCTGTGAAATCGAACTGAACAAAGCGAAAGGAGAGAACAAAACAAAAAAAATACCTTGGAGGCTCCTCCACTCTCGAGTGTTTTTACTATCTCTCCCATGCATCGTGCCATTGAACTTCCTCGAAAACCATCGTCAGCCACATCTGTAACAACTATAACGGTTGGAAACTTCGCACCCGCAAGTAACTGGCGAAGTGATTGGAGTAGCTGCCTTTTCTTGTCCTCCCCATTTACTAAAGGTACGTCGTCAATGAGAACGAATTTCGTTCTCCTAACCGGAGCATTTAGTGGAAGAGAAGGAAACTTGGTTGTTTTGTCCAAAAATGTTTCAAAATCCTTCAGCTTTGAACTATATTTTGATCCTAAAAACCATGTCGAGGAAAAAAATTCAGAAAGTTCTTGTCAAGTGTTACCTAGTGTATCATTGTGTAGATGCTCCTTCCAGAGAACAGGCGTTGGAGCAGTCCACTCACAAAGCTCGGCATTCATCGTGTTGGCTAAGACTCGCACAACAGTCTACAAGATCCACCGTCTTTCAGAAACGAAGAAAGAAAGAAAAAAAACTGAAGGAAAGAAAACACTCGCCTTCTTACCGACACCAGCAGGTCCGGTGATCAACAAAAGCTTGCATGAACACTGCAGTGGCAAACAATTTCAAACGAATGTTACGCAAGAGTTAGTGAAGGGCGAGAGGAAAAAGAGGTTTTACCCAGCCTTACCCCCAAGGGGTTGTCGATTTGGGTTTCCATCCATTGTCTCACTTCTCCAACCTGGACGAAGAAAGAAAGAAAAAAAACCACTGTTAGAAAAGAGACAGGGAACGACCAAAGCAAAAAATTAACGTTGAAAGAACTAGAACCAAAAGAATCGTAGCGATGGTGAAGAATGTAAGTGATTTACCTTCTTGCTATGAACTGCTAGATCACTCACACAGGCCGGCCGAAACTTGTCGATCCAAAGATTATCAGAGTCTTGCCGATTATCTGGAAATCTTAGCTCGCATTGCATTCCATTGTCCATTCCAGCTCACCTCGAGTGCTATCCACCTGTAGAAACGCCATATCCTCCTCGACTCGCTCGAACGGCGACCGCGAATCCTGCCGACGCCCGCATTGGGAAAAAAGGAAGCGAGAAGAGAAGGAACTACGAAACCTGGCTGCTCTTCTGCGAGGAGAGCGATAGCGGCAAGCGATCGTCGTCGTCATCGTCGCTCTCCTCGAGCGCCAAAACGTGGCGCTTACGCTTGGCCATAACCTAGGAACCCTAGAAGCCTGCCACGCGTCAAAAATCTAGCCCATATAAGATAGAACGAAAGCCTCGCTTGTATCTATCTAGCGCAGCGATGAGCTTCTTCGTGCTCTTGGCCGTCGTTTTCTCTTCCATTCTCGCGAAATCTCAAGCCCAGATTGCTGGTCAGTTCGATCGCTCGGTTTTTTCACTGGAATTCCCAAACTTCTCATTGTTTTCCTGCTAAACTCGTGTGTGTCTTTATGCAGAGCTTTGCAAGGAATGCAACACTCTCTTCGACAACAAACACAACCATTCGGTCGTAAAGTTTGGGCAGTTTATGTGCGAGAACTTCTGCGACGAGCAGGGAAAGGTGGTGGGGCTAAACTCCGTGGCTGTGAATGCGGAGGAGATGCTGGTGTGTGATAGATGCAGGAAGAGCAAGGGCCAGTTCATGTGCTCGCTGTGCAATCCAGAAGAGAGATCGAAGATCCAGGAAGAGGATGAAGACGACGACGATGACGATCTCCCCTATGGAGCTCGAAGAACACAGTTCTTTTGGACATCGAACGAGACCTCGTGTGACACCTGCCGGGATCGTCTGAAGTCGCCATTCTGCTTCCAGTGCAGCCTCAAGGAAGAGTGTCGAAGTTGCAACAACACCGTGGAATGCAAAACGTGCGGTGTCTTTCGGCAGCACACGGTTCATGTCTCGAAGCTGTGGCTCGGCGAAGACAAACCATCCAAAGGAGTGGATGATCTTGGAAATGATCACCAGAGTAATCCAAGCACCACCGGAACTAGAAGTTGACATGTTGATACTCTAGCTTAAGTTCTTTTGGTAATGCAAAAGAGCAAATTAAAGTTATTATTAATTAATATAAAATTCAGAACTACCTTATGAAATCACATTGCTCTTTTTTTACTTCCAGTTAATTTGCTTGATCCATTTTCGTATTGATTTGTTTTTCAAAAAAGTGTTGTTATGAGAGTTTGTTTAATTGCAATTGGCTGAACCGCTCCAATCCTAGTTGCACTGCTACAAACAAATTCAGGAGGGATGTGGAGCATGGGTTCTACCTGATAGTTTCAGCATCACTCCTCCTCACTGGCCCCTTAAACACTGGGCATTGCCTGTTAAGAACAGGCATGGGGCGGATCTCGAATGTTATATACTTTAATTTTTCTTATCTTTTTTAAAATAAAATTGAACCATGAGAAAAATACAAAAAAATCAAATGTACAATGCCATTATTGGGCCCCTAACATTATAGTTATTTTTAATTATTGACGGTCCCTAGAATGACCTTTATAAACAACTCTGTTCTGTTGTGTTCTGTAAACTCATGCTTCATTAAGTGATCTCTGGAGTTCTGATGGAATTTTCTACAATTTTGTAACTGTAACAATTGCATCACTTTTCGAGGTTGATATACGGACATAGAAAAAAAAAAAATGTATCAAATTCTGCATTGTCAACGCTATGTGGCTCAAGCTTCGCACGCAAATGTTCCACATAGAAAGAAGAAATAAATATAAATAAAGCTAAAGTTCTGTGACAAGGCTACATTCTATTCCCCTAATAAACAGTAATACAAAAAACAAATACACTCCTGTAGTGTCGTAGAAACCAACGTATCTCTCTATAGTATTTAAACACACCATAGCTTCTCTCACACAAAACTTTATTTTTTTCTTCTTCTTTCCTCTTGTTAATATACATCAATGGCGGGCTCTCTTTTCACTCTTTTCGCTCTTGCTCTTTTCTTCTTGATTGCAGCACAGCAGTCCCAAGCTCAAGAAGGTAAACTCAATCTAACTTTCTCAAACAAAATTCAATTCTAACTTCTTCTTCTCGCAGACTATCTAAAACGAGTTTGCGACGGTTGCACCACCACAAAAAAACCGCTCCTTTGCAAGCTCTGTGACATTGCACAGAAGCAAGCCGCAGCAAAACCTCCAACCATGGTGACGGAGATCCCTCAAGAGGAAGCCAAGAAGGAGGCCCTGGGCATCGCCCAAGCCGCCAAGCCAATCCACTACACAAGTGCCAAGGTCGAGAAGAAGGACTGCGCGGAGAAATGCCCCAAAGGAAGCATTGTATACTACCTCGACGAGTGCACGGAGTGTAGGACGGAAGTCACCACCCTTCCAGTCTATCCCGATGGAATGGACATCTCCAAGAGCTACTTTTGCACCAAACTTTGTGCCAGCAACTTCTTCAAGGGATCCAAGATGTGTAAGTTCTGCTGGGCAACATCGCCATCGCCATCTCCATTGCCTTCTCCGGCCCCGGCGCCGACGCGAATGCCAAAGAAGAAGAACCCGCCTAAACACCACTGAGTGTTTTTAGATCCAGCGTAGTTTAGTCGAGGAAATAAGGAAAAGCACGGACCTGTGTGTTGTTTCCAAGATAGGCCTAGTGTTTGATTCGATCTGGTTGTCTGTGCAGTAGTGATAGTTTGTAGTAGTTTGATTCTTCGCAATAAATCTGGCAAAACTTTCTTCCTTCCAATTTTGTTTCACGACCAAGTGCCGATCAGTCTGTTCCAGAGCCATGAGCGCAATGAAATCGCTGGAACGATGTTTTACCTCAGTCGTCTCGCCGCGCTAGTTTGTCCCTGCATTACCTTCACTTCGGTTCGTATCGCCCAAGCGCACTTAGAGAGGACTTTAAATCTGTCTCAGCCTAGAACATAAAAGTTTGTCACGATTGTCAAAAACAGATGAAGATCACGAAGCGCCAAACCAAAGTTTTTGTCCAAATGTCCGATTGAATCATGACTTCTCCCAGACAAGGAGCTCCATAAATTCTCTTGTTCCGGGAAGCTTTATCCAATCTCTCGCATGGATCTGGCAAGAGTTATTAGTATCATTTTGGTTCCCCATGCCTTGCTTCTCTTGATGCAGTCTCACGCACAAGGCTTACCAGGTTAGTGCTCTACAAAACTTCCGCGTTGATCATTCTTCTCGCTATCTGTGTCTCCAGATACATCTGAGCTTTTCGCTGAGATTCCAAGGCCTCTAGAAAACACAACTTGTGAGAAATGCACCGACCCAATGACAAACACTCAGTGCCTCGGTTGTAGCATCAAAAGCATTTGCCACAAATGTAACACCTCCATGGTATGCCTAACCTGCATGAATTTCGGCATCGAGAACATGTTAGAGAGTTCGTTTGTCGAGAAAAGTATCAGCAAGGACCTGAAAGAAACTGTGTGTAAGCTCTTTTGTCGACGCGAGATGGACTTCTGGATATCAAGATCAGCGCTCTGCCGTTCTTGTAGCTCTTTACCTCCGTCCCACTCCCCGGTTGCATCTCCAATACCATCTCCCTTTTGGGGTCGTCCCAGACAGAAACGTCAAGCTCCAGCTCCAGCTCCAGCTCCAGCCCCTGGATATCACGGATACCATCACTAGTTTAGCGCCCGAGAAGAAACATAATAATTCACTGGCATACCTTTGTCAGTTGTCTGGAAATGAGAAAATTTTATGTCACTGCCTTTGTCACGTTTGAAAGTAGCACGTATGGTCCCGAAGAAGCACCTTCTTTCACCCCAAAAATCTTTTGCGATATTCTCTGTGCTCGTTCCAAGTCATTTGAGGTCTTACAGCAGCCGAGCAAGCTTGTCCACGCTACCGGCGTTGGCTCAAACGGCATAAAACTGAGCACGTCCTCTGCCAGCTCCAGCTTTCCAACCCTCCCGAGAAGGTCCGCGATGCACATGAAGTGATCGGCACTGGGCTCTATACCGTGATCTTGTCTCATGACGACGAAGAACTCGATGCCGGTTTTGAGCAAGCCTGCGTGAGCACAAGCCGAGATTATGGCGATGAAGGTAATATAGTCGGGAAGCTCACCTTGGAGGGTCATATCCTGGAAGACTTTGAGAGCTTCCGAGCTGCGAGCACACTCGGCATAAGCTGCGATCACGGCACTCCACGAAACGACGTTGGGATTGTTGATGGTGTTGAAAACGTCTCTCGCTCTTTGTAAACAGCCACCTTCCGAGTACATGGTGATGAGAGCGTTTTGGACTCTGATTTGCTTCTCTAGTCCAGTCCCGAGGATGCTCGCATGGACCATCTTCCCATCTGGTATCGAGCAGAAGTCCAAAACGCTCACAACTGTGATCGCTTCCGGCTTCACACCTTCCAAGTTCATGGTTTTGAACAGCCTGAAAGCCTCACTGCTGTGTCCATTCCGCGAGAGAGCTCCGATCATCACATTCCACGGTACTATATCCTGTCCTTGCGAACTTCCTGTGACTTCTTCGAAGACCTTCCATGCGTCTTGCAGGCTTCCACACCTCCCGTACATGTCCATAAGAGCGTTGGCAAGAAGACCGCGTCTGGGAAGTCCTGCCTCTGTAACAACACCATCAACCATTCTAGCTTTAGAGAGCTCACCAAAGCAAGAGCACGCATCAATAGCACTTAGAAACGTTACCTCGGATGGAGCCGTGCCGTCGAGGTCCATAAGTCCCAGGATTTGCAAGCCTTCCTCTCCAAGCCCGTGCTGTGCAAACACTGCGATCATCGCAGTCCATGCTATAACGTCCGGGTTTTCAATCTCTCCTAGTGTTCTTCGAGCATCCCGCACGCTCCCACACTTTCCATACGTGTTAACAAGAGCAGTCCCGACGACAACATCGCTTCCAAGTCCATCCTCGTAGACTCTCCCGTGTATTTCCCTGCAGCAACTCAAATCCTTAGAACCAGAGAAGCAATCAACGAGAGTGATAAAAGTGACTCTGTCTGGCTTCGTACCTGATAAACACATCAAGTGGAAGAGCTCCATCACGTTCTTGCCACTGCCAAGTTGACGAGCGTATGACGCGATCATAGTGTTCCAAGAAACCACGTCCTTTGCAACCATGGAATCGAAGAAATTTCTAGCTTTGTCCGCGAAAGAGTTGCTGGCATAAACCCACAGCATGCTGTTCCACGAAACTATATCTCGCTCGGGCATCTCATCGAAAATCCTCCTCGCTTCGTCGGGACAGCAGTGGCCGAATAAGCCGATCAATCCATTTCCAATCTTCAAGTCAGCGGCAAATCCAGCACTCTCGATCATCGTCTGGAGGATCTTCACCTTAGCTCTTGAGCAGAAGCCCGCAGCGCGGGAGGAAACGTTGAGAATGATCACAAAGGTGATAGAGTCCGGCTTAGATCCTTCCAAGTTCATGCGTCCAAAGTGCTCTATGGCCTGTCCCTCTTGCCCATTCTCGGCAAATGCGGCTAGCATCGCGTTCCACGTCGTAGCATTCTTCCCAGGCGTCTTCTCAAATATCTCTTTCGCCCGCTCAATCTCCCCATAGCTAGCAAACGCTTTCACCATAGTCGTCCATGACACCACATTCCTCTCAGGCATCGCCTCAAACACCTCCACCGCCTCCCACAAATGCCCATTCTGGGCAAATGCCTCGATCAGGATTGTCCACGAGAACACATTGGGGCTCTTGATCCGGGCCAGCGCCGATCGACAACCCTGGACATCACCGCAGCGCCCATACATCTGGATCACCAGATTCCCCAGCAGTCTGTCGCCTCCCAGCCCGGATCCGAGGATGAGATCCTCCGCTTGCCTGGCCTCCGCGATCGCGCTGAGCTTGCCGCATCTCTGGACGAGCGCCGCGAGATTGGAGAAAATGGCGCCGCTAGCGCCGCTACCGTATTGCTGGATCGATTCTTTCACCCTGGATAGGGTTACCGCCAAGGGCTCATCCATGCTCAAAAGTGACACGTAAGGGAGCCACCTTTAAGCCTAGTAGGATTCAAACAGCCACGTCCGCCTCCAGCTTGTAGCCACGTAGGATTACACTGCCATCGCATCTCCACGTACCAGAAAAATAGTGCCACGCAGGGCAGCCAGAAATTTTCTATGTAAAAATCTGTACAACCTATGGAGGTGTCACAAAAAGCTTTCCCTGTGACAATGAGCGTGAGAAATTTGGGCTGGTTCTTAGCCAGTGGAATTTCCAGAGATATAGATCCGATGGACCATCGAATTGGTGAGTTTTCTCCGGCAAGTCGGGCACCTCTTCTGGGCCTGGATGGCGGATAGAATGCAACTCCCGCAGAACAAATGCCCACAAACCGTGGACGTCTCGTTCTTCATCGTGTCGAAGCAAATGCCGCAAGTGAGCGATGGTTCCTTGGCCGGAGGAGGCGCTGGAGCAGCCATCTTCTTCTTCTGCGAGACGAGATCTCGCAACTTAGCTGGGAGCGACGAGGAACAAATGTAGATCTAAGTTGGAGCTCTTTACCTGGGGTCTCTCGTACACAACCTCGCAATCTTCCGTGGTGAGATCGATCGTTGTGGGATGAACACGCTTTGATCTATGTCGTTGTTGTTGTTGTTGTTGTGGCTGCTGCTGCTGCTGTCGAGCTCTAGATTGTAGCTTTCTCGATTTTCGTGGAGGCTTCGACCCTATACGAAGATCATGAAGAAAAAAAAAAACCAAAGTTCTCAGCGAGATAGTAGAAACGAGAAGAAACTTTGTACCGGAAAATCCCAATCGCAGTTGTAGAAGGTCTTCCTCGGTATGATTTTCATCGCCCACGGCCTAAAGAGGCAAAGCAAATTAGAAAAGGCAAAACAAAAGGAGAGGAAAGTTTTTTCTTCTTCTTCTCAACCAAAGAAATCTAACCTGAGCAAACGATCTGGGCGAACAGACTTGGACATCGTCATCGTCGTCGAGGATAACAATCGCCGCGCTGGTTGAGGCATAGCCAGGCCCTTTCGATGACGACGAACTCACAGAATCAGGGCTCGACATCAAGTCCAAGCCTCGGCGCCGCCCTGCAAAACATCGCATCGCGGACTCAATCCGAGCCCTCCCATCCGCCCGCCCCATACCTGAAAAGATCCTGAGTCGATTCATGGCGACAATGCCCGGCCGCGCCGGCAGTCCATGCGAGATGAGCGCAGCTATGGGATCCAGCAAAAGAAGAACTACTGGCAGCGGGAAGAAGCGCCCTTGCCCACAAACCCTAAAATGGGAACCATACACGAAGAAAATCCACAACTGTACACGAAAGCCGTCGATGCCCTGGCACGGACGCTCATAATCTTGCCACGACTGCGGCTGCCAACGTGGCCCTAATACCAACGGTCTGACTAGAACTAGGGCTCTTCCTAGATCTGGAAATCCCGCGTCCTCGATTCAAATCGAGCGTCAATCGATCTCTGCGCGGTGTGATCTAGCAAGAGCTCCACGGCGATGCCGCAAGATCTCCTCGACTCAAGCGAGCTGGCCTTTGGATGCTAATTTGCCACAAGCGATGGCGATCTTCTCTATCGGCTGGATTCATCGCTCTCAGCAAGCGAGCATTTGGAATGGAGGATTTCCAGCGGCAGCGAGAGGATCTGGCGCGGGGTTTCCAAGCTTGCGGTGACGAGGGATCGGCAGACGCGCTTGCGCAGGGCAAATTTCTTCACTCCCAGGCCGCTCGCCTAGGCCTTGATCGCGACGAGCTTCTTGCCAAGAACATCGTCCACATGTACCTCCGGTGTGGATCCATCCCCGGCGCCAGGCAGGTCTTCGACAATCTCCACGATCGCGATGTGATCCTCTGGACCGCAATGATCACGGCATATGCCCGGAACGGGGATTTCCAGCAGGGAATGGCGCTACTCCGGGCGATGCTGCTCGACGGCGTGGCTCCAAACAAGATCACGATCTTGGCCGCGCTGGGGACGACCGATTGCGTAGTGGAGTCGCGATCGATCCATAGAATTCTCGCGGTGGAGAGCGGATTGGAGTGGGATGTGAGCGTCGGGACCGCGATCGTGAGCATGTATTGCCGCTGTGGTAGCCTCGAGGACGCGATCGATCACTTCGAGCAGATGCCAGTGAAGAACGTGGTGACGTGGAGCGTCGCCATGGCCGGTTGCAAGGAGCTCCATCGCCCGGAGCTCGGGCTGGAGATCTTCCGGGGGATGCTGCTCGAGGGCGCGGCAGTGGACAAGATCACGCTCGTCACACTACTTGATCTGTGCTCTTCCTGCGAAGATGTGGTGGTGGGGGGAGAGATCCTTCCCGACGATTTTCTCGGGAGATTCGGCGAGGAGATAGAGACCAACGTGATCGTCGGCACGGCGCTGGTGAATCTCTACGCCAAAGCTGGCGATCTGGAGAGAGCTTGCGGCGTTTTCTCGCGGATGAAGAACAGGAACGTCGTCACCTGGACGGCGCTCATCACCGCGCACTGCTGCTGCGATCGCGACGAGCAAGCGCTGGAGATCTTCCGGCAAATGCAGCTGGAGGGAGTTCGTCCCAACGCGGTGGTGTTCGTCAACGTCTTGAACGCCTGCTGCTCCATGCCCGCCGCGGGAAGAACAGTCCTGGAGCTCGTCCTCGAGTGTGGAGCCGAGCGCGACGCCATCCTCGGCAACGCCATCGTCAACATGCTCGGCAAATCCGGCCGCCTGGACGAAGCCCGCGAGTTCTTCGAGCGGCTCAAGAGCAGCGCCGCCACCCGCAAGAACTTGGTCCTCTGGAACGGGATGCTCGCGGCGTACGCGCTCCAGGGCGAGTTCCCAGCGGCCATGGAGGTGTTCGCCGGTATGCTGCTCGAGGGTGCCAAGCCCAACAAGGCAACGTACGCCAGCGTCCTCCTCCATTCCCGCCGAGCTCTCAAGAGCGTCACCTCCCAGCGCCACCTCAAGCTCTTGCGTCTCTGCGCCGAGGAGACCGGGCTCGGAGAAGCCATCGCCGGGTTGAGCACTCTGGATCATGGTTGCGAGCACGATGATCGCGGTCGCTCGCCCCGGGACGTTGTTTGGTGGACGGCGCTCATCGTCGAGTCGGCTGAAGATGGTCGTTACAGCGACTGCCTGGAGCACTTTGGGACGATGCAGCTCCACGGCGTCAAGCCCAACGCGGTCACTCTCGCCAACGTTCTCTACGTCCTCGGCCTGGACCGCGGCAAGCTCTTGCACGGCGTGATGGTCGACAGCGGGGTGGCGGTGGACGTTGGCGTCGGCACTGCTCTCATGAATCTCTACGCGCGGTCCAAGCTCCCGGAGCACGGCCACCGGGTGTTCCTGGAGATGGAGGAGCACACCACCGTCTCCTGGACTGCGATGATCGCTTGCTTCGCTCAGAACTCCCGGAACGCCGAGGCGCTGGGACTCTACCGGCGGATGCATCTCGAGGGCCACCGCGCCGACGCCAAGACCTTCACCACCATTTTGCTGGCCTGCTCGAGTTTGATCGCGCTGCCGGAGGTGAGGAGCATCCACAGCTGCGTCCACGAGAGTGGCTTCCACATCAACGACGCCGTGAGCACTACTTTGATGAGCGCCTACGGCAAATGCGGCACCCTCGAGGACGCGTCCCGGATCTTCCTCCACAGCAGCAGCACCAATCCGCTCAACACCTCCCGCTGGAGCTCGATGATCGCCACCTCGGCCAGGCACGGCTGCGCGGCGGAGGCGGTGGCGATCTTCCACCGGATGCAGCAGGAGGGAGCTCGGGCCGACGACGTAACTCTGCTGTGCGTCCTCGCGGCTTGCAGCCACGGCGGCATGACCGCCAAGGCCGTGGAGTTCTTCGTCTCGATGATCCACGACTACAAAGTTGGCCGGACGGGCGACCATTGCTCTTGCATGGCGGATCTCCTCGGACGGAATGGAAGGCTGGAGGATGCCGAGGAGCTCATTCGCAAGATGCCGTTTGAAGCTGCGGCGTCGGTGTGGATGACGCTGCTGGGGGCTTGTAGAACTCACGGAGATCTTCCTCGAGCTAAAGAAGCCAGTGACCAAGTATCCGGTATCAACCCCGAGCATGCACAGAGTTACATAGTGCTCTCCAATGTCTATGCGGAGAGTGGAACTAAACAAGACCACAGGTGTTCGCGAACGAGTTGCTTAGCTCAGTGAAAAACGATGAGAAGCACCTGTCGTGAGCTTGAGGTAAAGTTTGTCTGGAAATGGAGCTGCGGCATAGCGTCATAGACTCGTTTTGCATCTTCAAGTTGGGCATGGAGTGTTTCGTCCTAAAACGGATCTGATTGAATGCCTCTTTGACGCTCCCGAATCTGCCATACCATTGCACCAGCATGTTTGCCACAAAAACATGGCGAACAAGAGTGACGTCGGATTCCATACTCAACTATATAAATACATCTACTTTCGGAAAAAGTTAGGTCATCGTTCTGGAATGGAGGAGACTGCTGTACATGTCGGTCACAGATCCTGAGCGGCTGGATGAGTGCCTCAAACGTTTGGCGTTTAGTTCATGGCAAGGGATGTCGAAGCAGGAAATCTGGGACACGCTGATGCGTTTAGGGGTACCATTCAATTATTTAGCTTCGAAGCACAGTGTTCTTCTGAGCAGGCTGACTGAAAGGCCAGTGGAGAAGCCGCTCCCCTCACTCGATGATCCCAAGCCACGCCGCAGCTTGCAGCAAGCGAAGCAGGAGAAGCAGCAGCTGCTGAGTTTCTACAAGCTGCTGGATGCTTGGAAGCCCAGCCGCTGGAGCAGGAGTAGTCACCGCCTGAAGAAAGCGTACTCAAGCCTGATGGATGAGGCTAAGCCTCAGGCTGAGGCAGCCATGCGGAAGAAGTGCCGTGGCCTGTTGTTATCTTCACATGAGCTGCTCGATGAGGGGATTCCAGATGCTGGCGATCCAACTGACAATGAATAGTCAGTACCTAGATGCGCTCAAGAGAAAGGCGAGCAGTAGCAGCAGCAGCCTGGCCTTACTCCTCGGGTTCTTGTCGCGCTTCCTTGAGCTCATGTTGGGAGGAATCCTGCTACAGATGAGGGACCTGCGCCTCGTGTTCATACACTGGTGCGCCGTGGTGCTGGAGGAAGTGGAGGTTGCCGAGTCCAACATTTGCTGGAAGCACCTCATCGAGCTCTCCACCACGCTTCTCAGCGAGGACGAGGAGAAGTTGTTGCAGCTCCTCTGCAAAACCTGCCGCCCCACCAATCACCTCCTCCAGGGCATGCGGGTTGCTAGGAAGAACACCAACGCAGACATTATGAATGTTTGTTAAGATAGATAAGATTAACTGTTCATGAGGTCGGAACCCCTCGAGCTATACAAAAAGCTAGGTACTTATTTTGGATGTTGGCTTGAGGAGTTCTCAATCACCACAGAGCTAAAGAGGTGGCAATATTCCTTCTGGAAGATACGCGACACTTAACAGGAGGGCTATTGTGTCCATACCATCCTATTGTGTTGTTGAGGTGTTGGTGGGTGCTGGGCATCAATGTGTGGTGTGTGTCACTGTTTCCACCTCTTCATAACAGAGCTGGCAAAGCCGTTCCTCCCAGGGGAGAAGGGGTCGAGACCATTCCGCAACTACATCATGCAGTCGGTGACCGCCTGCGATCCTGTGTTTCCATTCGAGGATAACTCAGTTTTGATTTCTTTCAGTGTTCACCATTCAGAGATACCGCACGAATGTCGTAGAGTGATCAGCTCCTTGCAGCAATGCCATATTCAATTTAACATTTGTGAAATGGAAAAACATACGGTGTGGCAAGCATAACTTAGTACTTAAATTCTTCTCTGTTCTTCTTAAAGAATCTATCAATCCAATCCTGGCAACAAGCTTTGGAGGCTCCAACATCAATACAAGTGTGTGGTGCTGAAGATTTGTCTCTCGTTTTCTAAGAGAATAGAAAGCTTTCTTGTTCTTGATCCTGCAAGAGATACAACATACAGGTAAGAACTAGAGTGCGATGCGTTTCAGCCCATACTCAAGGTTTCTCGGTGTAAATAATATACCTGGAATATCTAAGTATATTTTAAAATATTTTTCAATCCAACTCTTCTCTATAATTTTTTTAATCAATGTTTAATGCTAATAATTTTACTTATGACTAATATAAATTGTTTTTTAATAGAAGATTTGAGCATGTATTATCATGGTTTACAAGAGAAAAACAACAGCTTATCTTCTTGGCATGTACACTTCAATATATTCACCATACTCTCAAGCTTCCATGCTATCATAGATGGAAGAGAATTTGTTAGTAATGATGAGATTTGCCATATATTGCAATTGATAAGCATGATTGTCCCATTGTCACAACTAGAACTATGAATCAATTCATGATATTAGGGCTATTGACATTGTTGATTGAATGCTAAAAGGTTTATTTGTTAGCAGAGTGATTTTCAACTAATGGAGCCAACTTGTTCAAACTCCTTGAGCTCAGCTTGGTATCATGTTCAATCCTCACCTCCAGCACCTTAGTCAAAACATCAATAGGATCTAAAATGCAAATTAATTTATCGAATCAAAGCTTATTGATATTGTTGATTGGATGTTGAGTTGTAGTGGATCCTAACATGTTCCATCCTCACCTCCACCACCTTACTCAAATTGTTCCTCACAACATTAGTAGGATCTATTGCAAACTCACCATTCAATTAGTAATGTCAATAAGCCCTGATTCAATAAACTAATTTGCAATTCTAGCATGTTCAATCCCTAGCATTTAATTAACAATGTCAATAAGCCCTAATTTAGTAAATTCGTTTGCAATCCCAACATGTTTAATCCTCACCTCCACCATCTTGCTTAAATTTTTCCTCACAACATCAATAGGATTCATAGCCATTGCAACTCAAATTCAATTAGCAATGTCAATAAGCCCTGATTTAGTAAATTAATTTGCAACCCCAACATATACAGTCCTCACCTCCACCACCTTGTTCAAATCATTTTTCACAACAATAATAATCTATAGTCACTACAACAATGCTTTTGGAGGAACTTAGTTAAATGTATCCCATGAGCCAATAAATTCTTCATCCTCAACAATGGTCATTAAAATCACTTTGGAATTGTAAATTCTCACCAACCAATCATACTATCAAACTAATCTTCTCTAAGATATGATTGGTAACATGCCCCTCTCTTTCAAGGTAAATTGGCCTGTGTTAATTTATCAAGTTATCCCAATAATAGAGTGTGAACCTTGTAGTATCTGTTGCATCTTTTTAACAACACTACTCAGATGACATCAAGGCCTTTATACACTTGAATTCCTTTTCTAGATCATCCATTAGTAACTAATTTTCCACCTTGTGAATTGCATAACTGTATCAAGTGAGCCAGATGCCATAAGGTGTATTAGTTTCATGACACAAACCAGGAACATAAATCCAAGCTTATTATTTTAAGCTACCATGTGTGGGAGTTTCCATACAAGGATAGCGACATGCTTTTCTAAAGGCTTTATGCCATGACTTTCCTTGTTGTGAGAAGCTAGTGAAGATTTTGGAGGAACAACCACCTAATTTGAAGTTTGAGATAGTTTGAGACAAAAGCATAGCTAAACTATGCTTTTGTCAAAATAAAATTTGTAATGAAATAGAGATAAAAAAATAAAAAATTTCATCTATATAAAGAAAAGAGTAAATGTAAAATAACAAATAAAGGTTTAAGATTATAAAAATTATAATAAAACTTAATTTATACCGACATAACATTCTTGAATAAAATATAAAACAAACCATAGCAAATTGTTTCTAAACCCTATAAATCACTAAACAGTTGATTTGGGAGGAGCAAAAGATAAAAGGAGGAGAATGGAAATAAGAAGGGTTAAATTCACTTTATAGTGATAATGTTTAAAACATTTAAAAGTGTTATTGAAATTTTCTTTAGGAAAATAAGTGTTTGAGTGTGTGAGCTCTAATTATAGTGAGGATTGGAATGACCTCAATGTAACTCATAGTCAACTGTGGAAACACAATATTCCTAAATAATTCTTAATATGATCTATTCATTAGATTCTGACCAAAGTTATAATATGGCAATATATTGTATAACACCTTGTGGTCTTGTTTTTGGGTAAGATTTCTATTAGGATTGAGATAGTTGGAGGTTGGTTTCAAGCCCAATTTGTTCTTTTCACTTTTATTGGTCAAGAAATAGCTTTGTAGTGATTCATCCATGAAAGGAGTAACTTTGCAATGGTAGAAAGTATTCACTAAGATGTATTGTCAAATGGGTTGCCATGTTTATGCATAAAATTTTAGCAAAAACACATCATAAACTCTGTTTGTGCCACACATTAGAAACATCCAATATGTCAATATCATCCATCCATTCAAATAGGTTCTTATAGAATCACACCACATGCTCGTACAATTCATCCTATAAGTTGTCAATGCATTGCAAGATAGGGAGGTTAGTAGTGATGAATATACATTAGAAAATATTAAAGTCAAAGTTGGTTTCTTGTTAATATCCCACAAATAAAACTTTTGTCTTGAAGATCCTAACAACATTCCAACTTGCTCTCTATTACATTATGTTCATGAGCATTATCACTCTTTAGGCCAGCCAAATCTATATATAGCCCATATATATGTGTTGAAAATTACATGGTGGTTGATAGCTTGCAAGTGACTATATAATGAGTTGCCCCACATATCAAAGCGTGAATGTAGAATTTATATGATACAAACTTGTAATATGCTACCACATAAAATGTTTAAGTCTTCATAATTACAATGAAATTTATTCATAGTTTATATGGCATAACATATAAAGCTTCACATTAGTGTAAATCTGTCTTCAAATTTTAGACAGATGCCTCTATTATAGCTTTGCCAGATCATGCATTGCTAATGCTTTGTGAACTTACCATTAGCTGAATCTATATTTTATTGTTTGATAACTATATTGGAAGTTGATGATACCAGCTATTTATAGCTAGGTTAGTTTATATACCTCCTCTGTTGGTACTCTATTATATACACCCTTCCAATTGAGAATGACAATATATATATTTCTATAACATATTTGTACAACATTGGTCTTGTAATTTAGAGGTAGTTTCCTAGGTATATAGTTTTCATATTAAAAATCTTGAGGAGTAGCTAGGTGCTAAATGCATCTAGACTAGAAAATCCTCTTGTTCGCAAAAAAGTCTTCAATGTTTTAGAAATTAAAAAGTTACAGATATGAGTGTGAAATTTCTAATTACAGGCAAAACATTGTCTTCCACCACTTCTTCCACATTATGGAACCACTTTTAGAAGCAGAGGACAAAATGTTATTTGCCTCCTCATATAGTGTTTCACATAACTATTTGAGCTTACTCATTGAATTGTACACTAGCAAATCCTTTTATTTGCAAAAAGGTTTTCGAATGCTTGTCAACACCTTATCTCCATGTTTTTGGACTCAACAACATACGCTCACCATATAGTGTGTGCCTTATGTTTTGGCCCTAACCCAGGACCCATTGAGAAAAACTCATGATTCATGGATACCATGAATGCATGTGGCATCCATGCATAGGTTATATGACTCATGGTTTCCATTATAAAGAGATATTTGTGTATATAAATAAATTGTTATGCATTGCATATAATAACGTTTGGTTTACTTAATAGTAGTAGTATTCTTACTTATTAATCCAATTGATCAAATAAAGTTTATAATTATAAGTATGTTTGTAATTTATAAACACAAGATTAATCTTATTGCATATCAATCATTAGATGATAGAATAAAAAAGAATATACTAAAAAGGGTTTAAGAAAATTTATAAATTATAAAAAAATGTATAAATCATAAATACAAAATTAATTTAAATGAATAACAACTGTCAGATGGTAAAATATCCTAGAATATCCAAGAATATCCTAGGTATATCCACTACCATCCTATA